TTTTTTTTCAAAAAAGGCAACAAACAACTTCGTAAACACATTAATTTGATTCCTCTTTGATTTGCACCAAAGTCAAAGTTTTAAATATAAATTGGAATTCACGCTTGACTGGTCTGTGCATAATCATCGTTTTTAAACAGGTTTTTTTTTCTTATTTTCCTTCTTTATTCTTGTAATTCCCCAACGAATGCAGTCACTACACTTCACAGTAAACGGTTTTGGTGATGTGATGAGGTATTATTAGCAAATGCAAGTATCAGTATTATTGTTAATTCCTCACTATATAAAGGACTCCTGGCTGGGGTTGAGGTCAGTGAAGGACATACAGTATATCACCAGCAGAAGGTGGCCTTTTATCAGGTAAAATAGTCTGTGTGACAGTTATCCCCCCACAGTCTGACAACTCTCAGTATTTAGGTTCACAAATAATTAGTGGTCACTTGGACACGATATCAGGTATTTCTATGACATGGAGGTAGAGCCTCTGAGGTTGTGAGTTCCAAGCCCCAAGTTGGGACTTTAGGCCGCCACTCCAGTGCGATGCTGGGGGGGCCGTCCTCAGATGAGATGTTAAACCAAAGATCCCTCTACCTGTTCAGGTGGACATTGAAGATCCTACGGCACTACTTGAAAAGAGAAGCGCATGTTTCTCCCAGTGTCCTGACCAACAATCGTGCTGCATTGTTAGAGGTGCTGTCTTCACACGAGATGTTAAACTTATCCCTTCGAGTGGATGGTAAAGATCCTGTTGCATGGGTTGAAGAGAGAAGGGACCTTGTCCTAGCCAACAATATGAAAAATAAAATGATCGTTCCCTGGAAAGACTGGTTTGGGGACATTGCTCTATTGGCACCTACAAATAGTCACTGCCGTTTACAGGAAAACTGCGTCAAGTTTGTTGTGTAAAAGGCATTGCATTAAATGCAAGAATTATTGTTGTTGCTATGAAGACTTCTTTCAAAACGTTTCGAATGTTGACTTTGAATTCTTTACTCAAGGAGGAAGGCAGGGAACACTGCTTCTCATTGTGATTATGTTTTAGAGCGCAATGTTTCTTCTAAATGATTCTATGATGTATTTTCCAAAGCTTTGCACATCACCCTGGAGTATCAGATTGCAGGCTCTCTATGGATGCTCTCTTACTTACTTCCCTTTCACATCACCCTCAGACACTTGCTGAGAGCACAAACCACTTCAGTAACAAAGCCCCACACACGGCAGCAATTAGCAGCACAGTTTCACTCGAGCTCTCGCTATTTTCACACAAGTCGGCAATTTCCAATTAGCGGCTCCTATCGGCTTCCTAACCCTGTGCTCCGCAGCTTCAGTCTGAACCAGAGTGTGGGGGGATTCCCGGATTCAGGCTGATTGTTGGGTAGATTTCATTGGGAGTAAATGCGAACCTTTTTTGTGTGTGGGACGTGTGTGAGTGTGGTGTGTGTGTGTCGGTGTGCTTAACCTTGTGATCAAACATGTTCCACTCACGCTGTGAAACTGAACATTTCCAACTCGTAACCACTGAATCCATCAGTTTTTGTAGCATGCTGCTGTTGCAATTGGCTGCCGTGTTTCACCCATAAAATACACTTTACAGTATATTCTGTGAAGCGCTTTGAGACGTCTCGAAGATGTGATAAGGCACTAGATCAAATGCAAAGTTTATTATTATTATCCACTTGCATTGTTTCTGATTTTGTGTTGAGAGCAGTCAGTCCTCCCACCCAAACTTCCACCTTAGTCTCGCAGACATGCTTCCAACTGGGCAGGTGATTCTGAGAGAGAGAGAAAGAATAATCCAAGCTGGGAAATAATCAGGACGTCATAGGGAGCATGGTGGCAGCAGATGGCATAATAATAAAAACACAGGTGATCGCAGCAGCTGCCATAAAACAAATAGTGTTTGTGTTTTTACTTTCTGGCAACCCATAAAATTAATTTGCCTGAGGTTACTGCACTGACAGCACCTCCAAACTCCCTGCTTCAGCATCAAACACAGAGTGACAGAGTGGGGAAAGGCTATATTGCCAGGACTGTAGCTCAGTTGTAGGGACAGTGTAAGAGAAGTCAGTGCCACTCCTTTGCTGCCAACTCAAGTATTCGCTGTTGGTCAGTGAAACACCCAACCTGCCCCAGCTTGTACAGCTAGCAGAGATTGTTTTTTTAAAAAAGGGAAAACATAAATGCTGGCAATCTGAAATTAAATAATATCACACCGTCTGAATCAACAGCAACTTGGGTATATTTACCCTTTCATGTAGGATGGTGTGTCAGAGCGCTTCACAGTGGTTGGGTTGGACACAGAGCTCAGGAAGTGGGGGTGGGTGGGTAGAGGAGGTGACCAAAGATACAGTCGAAGATGTAGACAGGTCAGATTGGGGGAGAGAGTTTCAAAGCTTTGGGGCGTAGTGGCTGAAAGCGCGGCCACCGATGGTGGAGAGGAGGGCACGAGGGACGAGCAGGAGACCAGAGCCAGCCAAGCGGAGGCAGCGGGTAGTGAATTTACTATTCAAGGATAAATTTAGAAAGTATTTCAAATGAAAAACAACTGCAGCTTGATCAAAGCAATAATTAGGCGAAAACGATTACCACTGAATATTGTAGGATTCAGAATATTCTTCCTGAATTTAAGAGGTTGATCGTTGGCGCTTTTTAATTTGATGAATTATTTTGAAGAGCATGTGTCCAACTTTTCACTAGGTATCAACATCATAGGCAGGTTACATCATAGGCAACATCATAGGCAAGATATAGCTGTGTCACCTCTTATGGTATTTCAATTTCCAACATTCATTGATCCTCTACTAGTTCTCCTGATCATCTCATAATTACAATTAATAAATCTTTGAAAAACACATAGATAGGAAATAAAAACATCAACATTTATTATAATTCTGATTTACCACATGAATTTTTTAAAAAAAATACGGATGGCAAAACGTATAAATGTAATATTTTGGCACAGCACCACAGCATCAAAACAATAGAGTGTATCCCACATCCTATCAAAAGCATATTGAAAAAAATTAGAACAGAAAATTAATAAAAATAGAAATTGGCATTAATAAAACATGTATCATCTCATTTCAATTATATCAAGTTATATCAACTTCTATTTCTCCTTCATTTTAAAAAAAATACAAAAATCTCTAATTCAGTACGAACAGTCTAGAATAACAGAAGAATAGAATAACAGCAAACCACTTCCATTACACATGGCATTTTAGTTTAACACAATAATTATACAAATGTATTTGATAGTTCATTATTGCTACAAGGTTAACGAAGACAGGTGCGTGGCCTGTTGTGACAAATACATAACTTGAAAGTCTGAACATGTTCTTCCCTGATTGAATGCCACTTGTTAACAGGTTCCACTCTTATGCTATTTATGACAATTTTACCACCCACCCAGCCCTCCCTCAGGAGAAAAGTTGCTCGTTATGAAATTAACCACAAACTGTAAAGACAAAATTAACTCATCAATAAAAAAAATGCTTACACAAATCCCATCTGGTATTCAGTGGGCGCTGTTAGATATACAGTATAAACAGCAACCCTGTTACTGGCCTTTTAACATTCAAAGAAAAACAGCTGCCCACCAATATTTGAACTGCTGTTGCATTTCTGCTGCACCCTAATAAAATAAATGTAAATTTATGTATAAAAACATTTATATTCAAGATCTGGGATTATAGTGCAAAACAAATTATTTTTATGCCTTAAATATTTTGCCTTCAATATCTCTTTCTACAGCTAGAATACTTACAGGGAAAGCCTGCAGTAATGATGAGCAGCTTAGAAAGACATCTTTAGCAGCTAGCCTGTGTTGGATTATTTTGCTGCTATTTGTAACACCCTGCTATAACATTTAAATATTAATGGAAAAATCAGCTATCTTATTGTAGGGAATTCAGGTCACGTATATCAACGTGAAGGAGATGATCACAGGTCAAATCCTTCAAATTGCTGTGCTACCCTTTTTCGGTTTAGCTCTTGTCCACTAATAGTATTCATTCAATCACTTTCTGTTACTACTTAAAAATACTATTTTGGTTTTCTGGTTCTTTGGAGCTTTCAAAAATCAAGTAAATGGTAGCAGAGAATTCTCCATTCAAACAAGTTTGTGAATGATGTGATTAGTACTTTTGATATGATCTGAATCATCAATCAAGTCTCAGTGTAAAACACTTAGCCCGTCAGAATGTTTGATTTAAAAAACTGTAACCAATTTCATTTTTCAATACACTAATGCTGAAAACAACTTGATCAAAACAGAATTAATCTTCATTACAAGTTTGATGCCATTATTACAGATTTATATTATTGTAGACTACTGTTTATTTCTAATGGATTTTCTGTAATTTGTAATTGTGGAAAATTCATGCCAAGTATGAGCAAAGACCCCTAAGAATTCTATTCTATTCCTTCAATTGGAAAAGATTTCCCCCATTCAAGTGGATGGATAACAAGAAGCAGCTGTCCTGAATCAGCTATTACCCACATTTGTGCCCAACAAAAACAAGTCAAAAAGTGCCAGAGAGTCTGCGTATGTTATCAACAGCTCCTCCGGCGAATATCATCTACATCCAAACATGTCTGCTCAATCTGAGATACTGGCACTCAATACATCTCCCTGGATCTCTCCACAATTAGATTCTGATGTATTTTGTATCATCTTAACTTTGTTCTTGCGTAAACGTTAAATAATTGTTTTTATATTAAGTGAACAAACAATGTAGCACCTTAATGATTTTGTTGTAGTAAGGAAAGTGATCAAATTCAAGGATTTGCACATATATCAAATGCAAGGATTATTATTGATTCTTTAAATTTTCCCATGTAGTAACCCATCAGATTATTATAAAGCTAAAAAAAGTTACGTTTCTGCAACAAAAATATTTATTCCATACAAAACCTCAGGAAATGGGATACACCACATCCCCCCAACACACCAATATTTCCAAAAATAAATTTGGTGCAATTGCAAAAAAATGTAAAATGCCGCCATATTTATCCAAATCTATTTTGACTGCTCTGTAAAATACAATTCTTGTGCTACTTATTATGCGGAGATTTTTGCAAAATTGTATTTATGTCTTTGGGATAATCAACAATGAAAACAGCTAAGAGTCTCAAATGTTCTTGGTATTCTTAGAAAGCTTCAGGTATAATGAAACACAATTACTATAGACATTAATGATTGCTGAAGATTAAGAAAAATACTAAAATAAAGACAGCAAATTGTTGACCACCATTTGTGAACATCAATCCATCACAAGCAGGTTAGAAAATAGAAGCCCTAAATTGGGCTTGAAAATTGAAAGAGTTTGAAATGTGCTGGTCTGTGTATTGTTTAGGTGGTGCTTGCAGCTTTCCTGTACAGATTCCTGTAGATTTTTTCCAGGCTATCTTCAAAGACTGCCCTGTGAGGTTTCCCTTTGTACATAGCAGCACGATTTGACCAATAGTCACCATTGCCTAGGTGAACAGACGTCTCTCGTTGCAGTATGGGACTGTGGAGACAAAAGAAAAATGGATTCTGTGCAACCGTACCAGCAGGGAGAATGGCATATTGTACATTGTAAAGTGTACTGACTGTGTATTTTGTTTGTGAACGTTGCAGCTACAGACACAATGTCCCATGGACAGTCCTGAAGTGGACAACCAATTTCAATTAAGGATTTGTTGGCTAGGACGCCAGGAGCAACTCCTTTGTCTTTTTGTGCAGGGCCATGTGATCTTTAACGTCCACCTAAACAGTCGGGTAAGACTTTGGCTTGAAATCGCATCCAAAGGACAGCACCTGAAACAATGCAGAGAAGTTATAGCACTGCAATGGAGTGTAAGCCTGGACAATGTGAGTTTAAAGATTTCACTGTTTCAACGTGAGGTTTGAGGCCACAGTCAAGAGTGTGACCAAGTGAGTCAGGTTAACCCCTATCGCATGCTGAGAACAGTGAGTGTCTAGAACATTGGAATTCACTATTACCTGGAATAACCCGCACTGTCACACAGTGAATCTTCATACAAGGCAGATCTCCTGTCTGGGTGATCATGTTTTATAGAAAAATCTGCCTGGAACATGAGGGAATCGAAAATAAAATGGGTAACAGTCAATCACAACACATTTCACCAATTTAACCTGCAAAGATATGATCTACTCTACTAACTTTCAAGCTTTCAGCATTGCTAACAATGATAACTGCATTTAAGCAACAAACATGAAGCTTTTCTCCCCCTAGCCTCAGGAATATACCATTTCTCCCCAAGTTAGTAGGTACCAGAATCAGTTCAATATTGCACATAAATGCACTGAAGTGACAAGTACAATTAAATGTAGCAAAACAGATCTAGCTTTTATATGTCTGAACCACTTGACTCCAAACCAATGATGACAAGTCTGATTTTCAGATCTGACTGTCATTCAAGCAAGGCTTTTCTCCTTGAGCGAATTTCACCAGTTCTAAGCCAGATGGCGAGATAGATCACTGTGCAGCAGTGGAGTGTTCCACGCTGGGAGAAACTGGCAGGAACACTCAAACCCTGCAGACATGTACTGCTCAGTATTGACAGAGGTCACAGTGAACGAGAAACATCTTCCCTTCCAAACACAAGCAAGCACCATGATCAGCCAGAAATAGCAACTAGGGAGCTAATTTTTTTGTTTTTGAAAACTTTAAAATAATGTATGATGCTGTATATGCTCAGTAAGTAAGTATATGCTCAGTAAGTAAATACGTCACGCGCCTTGGTACTGAACCATACAAACCGAGAAACTTCTCATCAATATCCAATCACTTGCCGTGATATAATACATGGCAGAGCAGGTTTGACAATACAAAAGGATCTACTCCTATTCCCACAACCTCTGATGTTAATGTGGGTCTGAGCGGACAACAAGATGAAACTAAATGATTATTTAGGTGAGGTGTAATGGCTGGGCGTAGGGGAGGGGGGGAAGGGGGGTAAGTGCCATATCCTACCCAAGAGGTGGAAAGACAAGAGAAGAAATTGTAATTGAACTTGTAATTGAACTTATGGAATTCACTACCTCAGAAGGCTGTAGATGCTCAGTCCTTGAACATTTTCAAGGCTGAGACTGATAGATTCTTGAAAAATAGAGGGATTAGGGGATATGGGGATAGGGCAGGTAATCATAGTTAGGTGAGAAGATCAGCCATGATCTTATTGAATGGCGGAGCACAGGCACGAAGGGCCGAATGGCCTACTCCTGCTCCTAATTCTTATGTTATTACGTTCTTATGTAAAGGAACTTCATAAAAGATTTATAGGTGAATAGAGATAAGATAGTTATTTGAAACACAACTTCTTACTTTAGTTCCGCAGAGACTATTGACAATGTTCTTGTTGCTAACAATTTGCTGCTACAGAATTGGCTAGCGATGTCTGTCACAGTATATACATGCAATTGTTTTATAGTCACTAAAATAGACACAAGGATATTGCAAAATGCAAGAACAATTCATACAAAGAGCTGAATGAGGAAGCAGGAAGATTCAAAGTTTCATATTGTTTTAAAATAGATATAAATTGGACAGAAATTCAGTGATGCAAAGAAAGAACATTTACAATTATCAACACTTTTTTTGCTTTGAAGTTTGCAAACTAAATCTTTTCATTAAATCTCATAGAATCAGAATTATACAGCACAAAAGGAAGCCATTCGGTCCATCGTGTCTGTGTTGGCTCTTTGAAAAGAGGTATCCAAATGCAGACTGGCTCTTAATAACTTAGGCAGTCTCTTAAAAACTTACGCTGCAATAAATATTATATAAATTTATATTATATAAATTTATATTATATAAATATATATATTATATAAATATATAGTGTATATATAAATGTACAATAGTAAATATTAGAAATGATCCCCAAAAAAGACTGAACACATAAATCAGTAAACTATTCTGACAATTTCTAAAAGGCCAATAAATTACTTCGCTAACACCTTTCAGGGAAGAAGGCTTAAAACTGCCTGAAATCAAGGTCAGAAAGATATACCCAGGCTGTGTTTTTTTATCAGTTTATGAACAGCTGTTTGGAACTGTCTGCATTACAGCGGCATCTGAGAGCCACTGTCTGCAGAAATAATATTCTAGTACAGAATGTACCCAAAAATTAAATTAAGGGTTTTTCTGTCTTGATCCTATCAAGTTTCACTGCTTTCTATGACTGGAAAGCACAATGTATAGAAATATTTGAAATTCATAGCTCTAACAGACGCCATGTCACTGTGATCATGTAGTCAAGGTGAGCAAACAAGCAACAGAGCCTTTCCCACTGAAAGGGCATCGACAGAGGTCTGCAAGCAAGTGCCCTACCCACCTTCCTTCTTGTGGAATGCTTTGTGATGTCAGGTACGATGTGTGGAAATTAAATAAATAATAAATAATCCTTGCTTTTTTTGATATAGCACCTTATCACATCATTGAGACGTCTTGAAGCGCTTCACAGAATATACTGTAAAGTGCGGTGACTGTATTTTGTAGGCAAAATGCAGCAGCCAATCATGTACAGCAGCGTCCCACAAACAGCCCTCAATTGAGTGACCAAATTGTAATTTTTTTTAATTAAGGGATTATTACCCCAAAAGCAATATGCCAATCGACTGAAAAATGTGTTCCTACTTACTGCTAGGTAAACAGAGATGCATGTGTGAGAAATAAGCCTAACTTAAAACTTGCAGAGGAGATTGCAATGACATTGATGAACATACAAATTGCATTTGGATGCAATACAAGAGTCCTGTAGCTCAGTGGTTGGAGCACTCGCCTCACAAGCAAGACACCTGGGTTCGATTCCCGGCAGCGCAAAAGCTTGGGCAAGTTTCCTTGCGCCACACGCCTGATAATAATCCCTCAAGAAAAAACAATAATAATTTGGTCACTTCAATCCATGACTGTTTGTGGGGCACTGCTGTGAGCAATTGGCTGTTGCTTTTCACCCACAAAATATACAGTCAATTCACTTTATAGTATATTCTGTGAAGCGCTTTGAGCCGTCTAGAAGACATGAAAAACGCTATATCAAATGTGAGGATTATTGTTATTACACAATCATAACTATGCTGAATAAGTCAGACATTTATTTTTGTAATACTAAGTTCTTAATAACACTTCGTTCAGGTCACATATATTACTCCACATTCTTAAAATTGCACCCAAATGATCGCACTACTTACAAATGACAGCCTTTTTCTTGCGCTGTGTGTTTCTAGTATTTTTTTCACTCGCTGATGGATCTCTTCCCATTTTGTTGGTGTAGAGCGATCTGAATAAAATCTAAACATGCAAAACTACATGAAGGATATACATATGTATATATATTAAGAACTATTAACAGAAGCTCCTTCCCTTGGAGGAGGAGAGTTTAATTGGCTGAATGTAGTAGCAAAATTTGCACACAGACATACTGCAAATGGCCAACTTTCAACAAAAAAAATACTGTAAAATATGCTTGTCTGCCATCTCTATGTGGATTTTGCAACATAGGTGAACAAGTGCTGGAGAGTGAAAATTAATGGAAAAATAAATTTTTGGACATTCAATATTGTCGAAACTAAAAAAGAACTTTGCCTCTCACTCCACTTTTGGATTTTAATCTTTTCATGAAAATCTGAGATGGACTGAATACTGTGTTTTTAGGCTGATCATTTTCATCTTCAGTCAGACTTCCAAACACTTCAGTGAGTTACTTTGGCATTGTATTGTATTTTACTGCTATATATTTTGTTGGTTTAAATTAAATTGTTTATTAAAACAATAAATTTTGGTATCACGGAAACAACTTTCTTCTCATCCTTAGTTGGTTTGCCAATAAATGAGCTTTACATCAGCCAGTTCCTGTGAGTGTTGACAGACGTGTATGTGCGTTGTGTTGGGGGAAAGGAGAGAAGGATAAATAAAATACTGTAAGGTGATTTCTCCTCCACACTGCTCATTTCGTAAACATTGGGACAAACTCTGGGTGAAAGAAAAAGCTGCTTACATTATACTACTTAAATGAAAATATAGTTTACAAGCTGGTTAGCAGCCTAACACTTTTTGAGTATTTGGAACATTGTTTGCTTCACTCTTTAGCCACCTAGGTTATGAGAAATGTGTTGGTTCTTATCCTTCAGCTTTGGGAAAAGAAATGGAGGCTTACTTGCCAACGATAAAACGGGATTTTCCCTCCCCCAACCCAAGGCACTTAGTTTTTTGTGTGAGCATCTTTCACTGACTGTCCCATAGGATGTGTTGCCAGGGTACTGCAACGGAATCTCAATGAAAACACCACTAATACAAAACCAGCAGGAAGATACACAATAATCAGTAGATTCAGTTCCTGGATTTGAGGAACATACAAACCAAGACACACAGAAACAACTTTTCACTAGAAGCAGGTGACAACGGTTTTACAATAATATGTACAGTACTGTACTAATCAGACCCCTTGTTACCCAATTGTTGTGTGGAAAGCCCTAGGGATGTTGTGGATAAAAATCCCTGATGTCCAAAGGTTCTCCCAAGTCCTAAGATTTTTAGAATAATGTAAAGGGAACTCTCTTCCCTCACACACAACATTTTGTCTGTCTAACTTCTTGCAGTGAACAGGACTTCACTTTAAACATTCCATCTTCCTCTGTTATTTAAATGTTATGACAGTATAGCTATGTGCCAATCCTATCCACTAGTCTGTGCTGTTGTATAAAGCAAGTCAACTACAATTCTGTTTCGTGCAACAGCTCAGCCTCTCAAAGTCAGCATGACATTCAGATTAGACCAGTCCATAGATGTGCACAACATGCCTTCAAATATCTTAAGCTGCAATTCCACTCAAAGCTTTCAAAACTTTCATTCTCTTCAAACTGGTTTTAAATGCCTTTGGCACGATTTTTGGGGGGGAGTATTGTGTGATGGATTTGTAGCGTTTGCTCAGTAGTAATAACTTGTTTTTTCTTACCCTAACCCACAATCAGGAATAAATAACAATCTCTTTTAAATACAGTATGTGAAGTTTGCCGATAAATTGAGCTGTTTAGAGTCCACCACACGCTGTCAATGTGGATACCATCAAATTTGGAACAAGAACACAGGTTCCTCTGATTTGCATCAAATTTCCTGTGGACACCTTCACCGGGTTAACTGTGTTACATAACCTGGGCCAATAGAAAAGTACAGCTGCAATTTTCCCCACAGAATCCGCTACAAACGCAGTGTGCTCAGCCCCGCTACACACCTGTACACATAGAGTGCTCAGCCCCACTACACACCTGTACACAGTGTACTCAGCCCCACTACACACCTGTACACACACTGTGCTCAGCCCCACTACACACCTGTATACATAGTGTGCTCAACCCCACTACACACCTGTACACACACTGTGCTCAGCCCCGCTACACACCTGTACACAGTGTGCTCAGCCCCGCTACACACCTGTACACAGTGTACTCAGCCCCACTACACACCTGTACACACACTGTGCTCAGCCCCACTACACACCTGTACACAGTGTGCTCAACCCCACTACACACCTGTACACAGTGTGCTCAGCCCCGCTACACACCTGTACACAGTGTACTCAGCCCCACTACACACCTGTACACACACTGTGCTCAGCCCCACTACACACCTGTACACAGTGTGCTCAGCTCCGCTACACACCTGTACACAGTGTGCTCAACCCCACTACACACCTGTACACAGTGTGCTCAGCCCCGCTACACACCTGTACACAGTGTGCTCAGCCCCACTACACACCTGTACACACACTGTGCTCAGCACCGCTACACACCTGCACACACAGTGTGCTCAGCACCGCTACACACCTGTACACACAGTGTGCTCAGCCCCACTACACACCTGTACACAGAGTGTGCTCAGCCCCACTACACACCTGCACACACAGGGTGCTCAGCCCCACTACACACCTGTACACAAACTGTGCTCAGCACCGCTACACACCTGCACACACAGTGTGCTCAGCCCCACTACACACCTGTACACAGAGTGTGCTCAGCCCCACTACACACCTGCACACACACTGTGCTCAGCACCGCTACACACCTGTACACAGTGTGCTCAGCCCCACTACACACCTGCACACACAGTGTGCTCAGCCCCACTACACACCTGTACACACACTGTGCTCAGCACCGCTACACACCTGCACACACACTGTGCTCAGCACCGCTACACACCTGTACACAGTGTGCTCAGCCCCACTACACACCTGTACACACACTGTGCTCAGCCCCACTACACACCTGCACACACAGTGTGCTCAGCACCGCTACACACCTGTACACAGTGTACTCAGCCCCACTACACACCTGTACACAGTGTGCTCAGCACCGCTACACACCTGTACACACACTGTGCTCAGCACCGCTACACACCTGCACACACAGTGTGCTCAGCCCCACTACACACCTGTACACACAGTGTGCTCAGCCCCACTACACACAGTGTGCTCAGCCCCACTACACACCTGCACACACAGTGTGCTCAGCCCCACTACAAACCTGTACACACAGTGTGCTCAGCCCCACTACACACCTGCACACACAGTGTGCTCAGCCCCGCTACACACACTGTGCTCAGCCCCCTTGGGGCAAACATTTCTGCACTTTTCTATTGACCAGCTCATTAGGGGATCAAAGATCCAACACAGCAATATCCTCCCCAAATTGTTTTGGGTTTCAGCGGGTTTTAGAGCCTTTCACCTGGGAGACCAGAGTGTTAAACTAGTCACAATCAATTTCAGCATTCAATTCAGTTCAATTCTCAGTTAGCAGAAATGCAAAATACAAAGTTGCTAAATACTGCATCAAATTGTCAGTTTCACTCAGAGAGTCTGGTGTGAAAGAGCACCTTATGTACGAAATGTGGTGTTTTCTAAGGTTGAGGTTATGGCAGTGTAGAGGGTGCTACCTGGAATGTAATCCATCCTACACATGCAAACAGAAAATGTTTTTTCTCCTTGTACTGATACACCTGCCAAGCATAATATTTTTAAACAAGCATTTCAAGCTGAACTCTAACCTGTTCTGAACATTGAATAGTATTTCTCATGAGCTACAGGAGACAACTAGCTCCATGTTGCCAAAGAAGAATCTTAACAAGTCCCTCATCAAACAAGACAGATTTGGGCATGTGGAAATTTATTTTCAGTAATTATCAGTACCTCTGAGTACACTGATCATATCATGGCAGATATTAGGGAAAGATAACAAAAGTCATACCCCAATAGTGTGAATAAATGGAATCAAAATCAGCAATGATAAGTCATTAACCTGCCCAAGAAAATAGATACTTCTCTCCAAGCTAACTTATATTGTGGTCATGGCGTCAAAACATATTATTCAGGAGGCAAAAGATGTTTCACACTGCAGAGGGGAAAATGAAGCGGTTATGGATTGTGGTTTTAGCAATAATTTTCATTTATCTTCCAGTGACAAATACTGGTATTTTTAATTGGTTATTGATAAATATCAGCTCATGTCCTAGAGAAACATTGTGCAATGACCAAGGAAGACAGGTCAATCAAAAGATTCCCTGGATTCATTTGGCCAATGCCAGCATCAGCCTAAACCCTACACACACTGACCCACAAAAACTGCAAATCAATAACAATTTCTAGCAAAAGAAATGTAATTTCAAAATGTATGATCATGTAATCAATATGAGAGCTGTGGAACAGGTCACACATCAATTTAAAAAAGAATGATATTTGTGGCCCATGGAATGAGAATCCTACATTGCATTCTTTCACTGACAAACGGGAGGCTTTGTATTCCTCACTTTTCTTATTTTACAGCTATTTAGATTATAGTCAAATGTTTATCGTTTAATTGTAGATTTTTGGAAATCAACAGATTTAACATACATTCCTTTAGTTGGTATAACCAATGGTTATTGGGACAGAGCTCAAATTTAACTACCTGACAACAGGCACACCAGCTTGATTCTGGTCAATGCCCAAATTGAGCAAACTGATTGATGGCTGGAATTTTAAAGCAGCTGGAAATGTTCATACTAATGAAAGGCTCAGAGGAGACCTTATCATGGAATCTTACAGCACAGAAAGAGTCCATTCGGCCCATCGTTTCTGTGCCGGCTCTTTTAAAAGAGTTTCCAATTCAATCCCACTCCCCCGTTTTCTCCCCAGAGCCCTGCAAACTTGTCCTCCCCAAATAATTATCTACTTCCCTCTTAAAAGTTGTTATCGAATCGGCTTCTACCACTCTTTCAGGCAATGCATTCCAGATCCCAACAACTTGCTGTGTGAATTTTTTTTGAAAACTTCTATTAAGTCTCCTCTTCACTTACTCTGCTCCAAGGAGAATAATCCCGGCTTCTCCAGTCTCTCCTGATAACTGAAGTCCCTCATTCCTGGTACCATCCTGGTAAACCTCCTTTGCACCCTCTCCAATGCCTTGACATCCTTCCTAAAGTGTGGGGCCCAGAACTAAACACAGTCTCTAACTGAGGCCTAACCAGTGTTTTATATAAAGGTTCATCATAATTTCCTGACTTGTGTATTCTATGCCCTTATTTATAAAGCCCAGTATCCCAGATGCTTTTTTAACAGCTGTATCTACCTGTCCGGCCACCTTCAAAGATTTACTTATATGAACCCCCAGGTCTCTCTGTACCATCAGCTTTTATTGCCTCTCCTCATTCTTCCTCACAAAATGCATCACGTCACATTTCTCCACATTAAACTGCCACGTGTCTGCCCATTTTCCCAGTCTGTCCATGTCCTCTTGCAGTTTGCTATTATCCTCCTCACTGTTTATTACTTCTCCATCTTAGTATCATCTGCAAACTTGGAAATTGCCTCCCTATACCCAAGTCCAGGTCATTTATATAGATCATAAACAGCAGTGGTCCCAATACTGATCCCTGGGAGACACCACTGCACATTTCTCTCCAGTCAGAAAAACAACCGTTCACCACCACTCTCTGCTTTCTGTCTCCCAGAAACTGCTGCCACTGTCGCTTTAATACTGTGGACTTCTATTTTGCTGACAAGTTTCTTATGTGGCACTTTATCAAACGTCTTTTGAAAATCTATATAAACTACATCAACTGCTCATTAGCTGTTTTACCTGCCAATCCTTCTTTCCAGTCCACCTTGGCTAGGTCCCTTTTTAACTCATGAAATTAGCCTCTTCCAATTTAGTATCTTCACCTTTGATTGTTCCTTATCTCTTTCCATAAGTACTCTAAACTTAATAGTGTTGTGATCACCGTTGTCCAGATGCTCTCCTACTGGAACCTGCTCCATTTGATCCACTTCATCCCCAGAATGAGATCCAGCACTGCTCCCTTCCTCGTTGGGTTGGAAACATACTGATCCAGAAAGTTATCCTGCACACGTTTCAGAAATCCTTCCCCTTCCTTGCCCTTTACACTGTTATTTTGCCAGTTTGTATGGAAGAATAGATAAACTAAACTGTAATAATATGTTTAATGCAATACACAAATCCAGAAAAAAACAGGACATGTGCTCAAGTTTAGGAGAAGGCAAAGTTCAATTTTAATTATTTTGTGCATGGAGTTGACTACACAGAATGACCACAGGATCTCAAGAGTGGTTCAGATGAAGACCTTTTGATCTCCTTCCAGAACACACATCCATTCTACTATCCTCTCATCTCAGCAACAAGCCTTGCGTTTCTTGAACGGGCGGAATGCCGACAGGCAATCAGGGCCCGATAGGGTCGATGAGCAGAGGTACACACCAATGAGAAGAGAATTAGAAAAATAATGACATGTTTTTTTAAAAAATATTAGTCTCACAATTGGATTTTTTAAATAAACAAAAAATTAAGATAATTACAGTAAAGTACAAAAATAATATTGTTTAAAAAAATCCTGTTAACTTGTAGAATATTTAGATTCAACATCAAAGCCTGATAACATCACTGGGAACGAGCATCAAGGAGTTACTGAGGCAATCAATACAAGAGGCTGGCTCTACCTACACAACTGAAATGGCAAAATCGCAAAAGCACTCTGGGTTAATAGCTGCACTTATTGATATTAATCTGGCTCCCTCCCACTACAGATCTTGGTAAATGCTCCAAGCCACTTTTGTTGATGAGGTTATGAATACTCCCAACATGGGGGAAGGGGAGATGATATTGAATTGTTCAGTCTAAGTGGGTTTCTGCAGTTGCTCACTTCAAATGGCGGAAAAGAGACAGAGATTGAAATATTTGTAGCAATATCACCTCGGATGACAAGGAAAGTGTTTAGGGAAAAACATCAGGTTTTCCTTCAAATTTATCCCCCAAAATTAAATGAAAATGAGATGCAATGAATACATTAATTTGAATCAAATGTCACTGTAGCTAAAATACATTTGGCAGTGAAAAGATTAAAAAGAAAACCTTTCTCGAAGAGATGAGGTGTTCAACAGAGAGCTTTGTTTCTGGATAGATGATGGTGCAGAATGGACCATTCGAGACCTAGAGGAAGGAACGAGTCTGCCAGCTGTTTGTGACATGATGTACTCATCGCTGTCATCAAAACAACCATCTCGAAGACCTTTCCCTGGAGGAGGCTTCATAACCTAGAAGATAATACAATGGCTGTAATAAACCATCACTAAAAATACACAACGGAAGCTTTGATCTTGGACAATTACATTCTTTGGTAGGAAATGATTTTGAAATGAAGGCTGCTCTAACTGTTCATGCTTTCTAAACCTGAGAAACTGCACTAAAACAGCAGCACTATTCTGCTCCGATCAAAGTGAAACAATAATCACATTTCCAATGCACAAAGTACAATCATTCCAAGCTTGTTTTACTAGTTTTGGAAATGTGAATAGGAGTGCAGTATTGCAAAGAGCAGTGCGAAACAAGTTTTGGAAACCAAAAATTTGAATGTCATGTGCTCAGTGACAATATTTCCAAAGAGATTCACAACTCACTCACTTTCCCTAACATTCCCTAACGGTGACAAACTGCTTGAAATTTGTTTGTGCTTGTAAAAACAAAGAGCAGCAATAGACATAATGCCTAATCCATCAGACCTCTTGTATACTTGTTAAAAGAGGCTGACTCAAGGTTAACGGGGTACCATGACCTTGAATACTAGTAAAACATTTTTGAATGTTTTTGACAATGCTCTGTAAACAAACCCTCAAGAAGCACTAAAATAAGTTAATGTCACTACACTTAATAATCTCTGTGAATCCTGACGTGGCTGTAGCGATTGACTTTCACATTTACACATTTCACATTCACATTTTCATGGAAGAGACTATCATCACCAGGGTGGCCTTTCCTTGAGAACCTTTTACTCACAGAAAAGGTCATAGAACAGGGACAAAGGACAAAGATGGCAAATTTACACATTATAGGTGGATCATAGCAAATTAAAATAATGGGATGTCATATATGGCGATTTCTGACAGGATTCTTTAATAAAGAAACTTGAAGTATGTTACACGGCATCAGAGAAACACCTGCTGATATGGATTCTTACAATATGCCATAAAGCCACTTACTGGAAGGGATCCCATTAGAATTTGCCACATATTAGACCCCAGTATAATTAAAGGATGTAATTTCACTGTTGCAGTTAGTTAATACACCATGACACTAATAATTAAATCTACAATTTTAAAAGACCAGATTTAATGTAATAATAATATAATCAAAATACTTTTAGTGAACTCCTCTTGGGTCTGTAACTGCCCCGAAGTGAAGGATCTGGAAAAATATAAATGCAGACATAACGTACATCATACCTCTTGTATATCTGTTAAAAGGATGTACAACCCACGTAGGGATAATAGGCTACCATTATCTTGAATAATAGCAAAATTACAAACAGTAAAATAAGACTACTATTCACTTGAAGGCAATGCATTGAAATCTAAGTATTTTATCTACTTCCATTAAGGTTGATCACCACAATGCACCATTCCTCAGCTTGGGATGTGGGCAGACAAACTGTGTCCAGATTCTGCCCAAACCACTCTATTTACAGCTTCTGGTAAGTAGATGAAAGTATTCCATGCTGATCCACTATTGGATTTCCTGCTGTGTCCCTTTGAAGAGAGCCTGGCCTGTAATTGCTATCTGTGTGTGTGAACCTGCCACTCGGCCTCACAGCTCATTGGTTCAAGCCCAGCCATAACACTGATAAAAATGACTGTCCTCAGGCCATTCAGGAAAAAGAACAAACAAAACGATAGAGGTGTTTAGAATGATGAGGGGTTTTGATAGATCAGACAGGAAGAAATTATTTCTACTGGTCAGTGACTAGAGGGCATCAGTTTAAGATAATTACCAAAGGTGCAAAGGGAGAGATTAGGAGGATTTTATTTAACACATCACACACACGCGCAGTGTAGAATTTTCTGAAGGATCAGTGGTCAAAGTGGAATCGAAACCAGCTTTTAAGGGCAAGCTAGATAGACATCTAAAAAGGAAGTCTTTGCAGAGGTATAGGAGATAAGGCATGTAAATGGGACTGAATGCATTGCTTTTTCAAAGGGTTAGCACAGACACGATGGGCCAAATGGCCTTCTTCTGTGCTGCAAAGCTCTAAATTCTTTTAAATGGATTATACTTTGTATTGTACTTATTTTTTTTCCTCCCAACTTTGAACTCTGTTTCCCCAGAGTTAATTTTGACATTTATGCTATATTTAAGGCCTGTATCTATGGCATTTCTTTTCAGAATGAACCATTCTCGTTCCCTTCCATGTAGATCTTTGTTGGAACATGTACTGGAATTAACCTAGATTCCTGCAACACTTACATCTTATGATTATTACTCTTCATTATGAACTGCCATCTTACCCACGGTATGCTCCCTGTGACAACTAGCTATTTTTAACCCTTGATCGTGCACCACCAATAAGTTATCTAGTCAGGCACTAGGGCCTATTTGGGCTGCCAAATATTGACCTAATTTTCACTTTACTCTTTGACCCAGTTGGTCCAGAGATACAACCTCTACGATGTTTAGTCTCCTGACTATCTAAAAACAAAGCCTTTGCTACTAGATTTTGCCTATTGACAGAAAGTCATTTGGGTCCCAGTGAGGTAAAATAGGAAGATGGAGGAGTCCAAAACAAATATTTCTTTATCCAGAAGATAAGTAATAACTGGAACAGAGTCACCAGGAAGGGAGGTTGAGAAACAGCTATATGCTATAATAGGAGGAAGGTAATGTGGAAGGTAATCTGCAAGGATGCTAACAAACCTCTTGTGATGAGATTGTATTATTTAAACTTACTCAATACATGTAATGAAAGGTAAAGTGATATTAAAATATTAAATGTCAAAGAAGAAATTAGAAGAAGCAAAGATGGGAACAACAACAACTTGCACTTATATAGCACCCAGCATGCAGAATAGCTCCTCAGAGTGTTTAAAACATTGAATTAATTAAATATTTTATATTTAAAATTGTGATTCTATACTATATTTTAGTAGTATGAGATATTAGTATATTTATTAGTATAAAATAATGATAATCCTTACATCTGATATAGCACCTTATCATGTCAAAAGCTCTTTGAAGTAGGGGACTTTAGGTGAAGATGATTATTATAATAAGACTATTCGAGATCTAAACAGCGGTAGGTTTCAAAGAAAAGAAATAAGTAGAAATTATATTTAGTGATTGCCACACCAACATGGAACCACTCATACAGTACCTTCAAAATGCTCCTAAAATATCTCTATTCATGTCTAAACTTAGGACATTGTGTCATGTAAGTTTTTTAAAATTACAATTGAGTTTAGAATACAGGTTCTGACTGGCATTCTAGATCCCAATAATTCAAGATGGATTCAAGATGGTGACAGTTAACTAAGAAATAAAACCACTGATTACACTGTGTAAAGGTGATGTTTAGCTGTACCATCATATAGTCGAGAGCCTGGAGACCAACTGTTCTGAACGCTGGGCTTACAAGAAAATGAAGATGAGAAAACATGTAGATCATCTTTTGGTGAAACCTTGTGATTAACCTGAAAAAGATAAATAAACTGAAGATTTTTACACATCCCACAGACTTTTTTTAAAAAAAGAAAATGCATGTATCATTTACAATCAAAACCAGCCAATATAATTGACCTTTAATATTGGGATTCAATGCACGGCAAGGTCTAAGTTGATCCAGCTAAATTATTCAGAATGACAAAGGGTCCAAAAACTAAGTAAGATTATTCAAAGTATTCCACACAATGATTAACAAAGGTTAGAAATAAATGAATGGGGAAGGCTATTGAAACAAATTGCATAAATGATTCAATAATCAACTAGATGTATTCAGAGAAAGGAAATGGTGAATTTAGTGAGAATAAGGAAACTTGGAGTTGGGATCTGCCACAAAGAATAGGCTTGATGAGATAAAGGGCTTTCCTACTTTTAAAGCAACAACATTGCTCTATGGGCACTTCATTATAAACTGACTTCAATCAAAAGGTGGACCATGCACCAGACCAGATGCCTGGTGTGCATTTTTGCTGAGTTTATCAGAAATTAATCTGTTGTTTACAGATTTAAGAAAAATCTAATTATTTTAAAGGAAGGCTATTTAAAATAAAAGCCTTTAGCAACCCGCCATTTATGTAGAATTGTTTTGATTTATTTGCAGACTTTTTTCTAACACTGTCTTTATATTCATGCCAATTATTTTACCACATTGAACTAGACTGTTAAAACCTAAATTTAGAAATTCAAGGCTTTAATATTAGGATCACTGAACAGTATGACCAGACAAAGAAGTCTTCATTTCTGTGGTTATTGAAAAGGCTTGATGTGTTGGCCAATAAAAGAAGAAAACAATTTCCCAAGGCTAGACAATGGGTTAAAGTAAGTATTAATTCTCCAATATGATTTTGGTGCAGGGATATACATACATGTCTTACTACAAATGGAGGTTTGTTATCAATTTCTGTTTTAAATTCAAAAGGCCCTAAGTTCAGGTGTCCCAATCTTTGCTTGGCATCTTCCGAGAGCTCGGCCATCCGTCTTCTCGTGTACGGTGATGGAGATCGTAGCTGCGATGCTGCTGTAGGCTGCTTGTACTTTATTTCTTTATTGTACTTGCTGGTACATCCCCCTGCGAGGAAGGGTTTCCTCTTTGACATTTCTGTAGTGGATTTTCTGAGTGGAGAGACTTGTGATTCTAAGGTTATATCTTGCTTCTAAAGAAGAAGAATTGTAAAGAAAGTTCAATGTAATGACATTTTTAACTAAATTGGAAGAAAGGTTCACAAACCCACTGTGAAGTTATTAATTATAACAGAATCTTTGTATTTTACTGAACAATGATTTTAAGACAGGTAATTTTTTTTGAACACAGCCATTTTATATTTCCACGGAAAAATCAAGACATATCACAGAGCCAGACAAAATGTAATTTTAGACAGCAATAATCTTCTTCCTCCAGGCTAGGCAAAACAGTGAAATTGTTAATTGCATTTGAAAGGAGTCACTGTATAATTTAATAATAACATTACATGCCTGGAAAAAATGAAAATAAATATCAGGAAAATGCTACCACATTTCACTTCAAAGAACACAGACATAAACCTGACGGCAGTCAATTTTATTGAAACTAAACCGCAAATCAACAGGATACGTTATAAATAGGCAGTTGCACCATCAGTGCAAGTACACTTTGGTAATAATTTGTGGAGCTGTCATGCTTAGTCATTCATGTTTGGTGCACAGTAACAACAGCACAGCACCTGGAACAAACTCAATTTCTAAAATAGAATTTTCAGAAAAAAAGTTGTTAGTATCAGACTGCTTTGTAAATATTGTATTTTGGCTTAGATAAACAGAATAGGGTTCCTGGTGTTTTAAAACGAAAAATACACAGCATGTTGTGGCAGAAAGCCACAGTGAGGCCTAATTTATACTGATCACTTAGAAGTACCAATCGTTTTCGCTAAATCTTTCTAATGGGATTTTTGGGTGGATTATGTGTAATGGGATTATCTTGAACTGTGTCTGCCATTGTGTACTTTAAACCAGTTACCTTCTTCTGGTCTACCACCAAAGATTTGTCCTTGGCAAGCGAGTTTCCTTTCAAATTTTCTGTCAAGGGTTCGTCATTATTCAACTTTTTTTTCCCTCTCCTGCAACTTCAGTGTGGTGTGCCCGGGGATCTATTTTCTCTCCCACTTTGCTCCTTCCCCACATCAATGACATTTCTTCACTTTTCTTTCAACACTATTCCAGGCAATTGCTATGATTCTTGTTGATATTCACCAACTTCCTTCAACTCACACCTCCATTACTTTTACTCCCCCTCACTGCAAACTGTCTGAATCATTAAACCTTGACCATACTCATAGAATCATAGAATCGTACAGCACAAAAAGAGGCCATTCGGCCCATCAACAACAACAACAAGATTCCATTTATAGAGCGCCTTTCACGTCGGGAGGACGTCCCAAGGCGCTGGACAGTTGGGTCAGGACCCGAGCAGGGGGGAGATGGTCAGGGTGAGGGGAGGGAAGGGAGGGAACGAGGGGGGGGTAGAGAGTCAAGAGGGGAGCTCGGTCAAAGAGGGGAGGCCCGGTCAAAGAGAAAGGTCTTGAGACCGGCCTTGAAGGAGGAAAGGGAGGAGACGGCGAAGGCACTGGGGGATGGAGTTCCAGAGCCAGAGCCTCGGGGCTGAGAGGCTGAAGGTCCGGCCACCGATGGTAGGGCGGTTGGGGTGGTGGAGCAGACCGGAGCCAGAGGAACGGAGGGTACGGGCAGGTAGGTAGGGGGATAGTAGGTCGGAGAGGTAGGAGGGAGCAAGACCGTGAATGGCCTTGTAGGTGAGGATGAGGATCTTGAATTCGATCCTCTGGGGGATGGGGAGCCAGTGGAGGCGAGCGAGGGCGAGGGTGGGAGTGATGTGGTCCCGAAGCCTGGTGCGGGACAGTACACGAGCTGCAGAGTTTTGAATGACCTGCAGTGTGGAGGGAGGTGCCGGGAAGGCCGGCGAGGAGAGAGTTCCTGTAGTCCAGCCTTGAGGTGATAAAGGCGTGGACCAGAGTTTCAGCCGCGTGAGGGGTGAGGTAGTGCCGTAGTCTGGTGATGTTTCGGAGGTGATGGAAGGCGGTGCCAGTTGTGGCGCGGATATGAGGAAGAAAGGACAGCTCAGGGTCGAACAAAACACCGAGTTTCCTGACTGACTTTGAGAGGTGGAGAGTGCAGCCTTGGATGCTGATGATGTCAGCGCCATCGGGTCTGTGCCGGCTCTTTGAGAAGAGCAATGTAATGTCAATCCCACTCCCCAGCCCTTTCCCCATAACCCTGCAAACCCGTCCTCCTCAAATACCCGTCCACCGCGTTTTAAAAGTAGTTATTGAATTGGTCTCGACCGCCCTTTCAGGCAATGCGTTCCAGATTCGAACAACTCGCTGTGTGAAAAAATGTCTTCTCACCTCCCCTCGGCTTCTTTTAAAGACTATTTTAAATCTGTGTCCTCGAGTCACCGACACACCCACCAATGGGAACAGTTTTTCACTTTCTAACCTATCAAATCCCCTCATGATTTTGAAGGCCTCTATTAGGTCCTCGTCACCTTCTCTGCTCCAATGAGAATAATCCTCACCTCTCCAGCCTTTCCTCATCATCACGGTCCCTCATTCCTGGTCCCATCCTCGTAAATCTCCTCTGTACCCTTTCCAATGCCTTAACATCCTTCCTATAGTGCGGTGCCCAGAACTGGGCGCAGTATTCCAACTGAGGCCTAACCAGTGTTTTATATCGGTTAATCATAACCTCCTGACTCTTGTACTCTATGCCCCTATTTATAAAGCCCAGTATCCCATATGCCCTTTTTACAGCTTTATCTACCTGTCCTGACACCTTCAAGGATTCATTTACCTGCATTTACCTACCAGGTAGAGAAATGCATTACCTCGCATTTCTCCACATTGAATCTCATCTGCCGTGTGTCGCCCATTTTACCATCTGTCTATGTCTTCCTGCAGTTGGCTGCTATCCTTCTCACTGTTTACCACACTACCTAACTTTGTGTCGTCCGCAAACTTGGAAATGGTACTTGCTATACCAAGTCCAGATCATTTATGTATATTAAGAAGAGCAGTGGTCCTAATACCGATCCCTGGGGGACACCACTGTACACTTCCCTCCAGTCAGAAAAGCAGCCGTTCAAATTGGGCAATGATAATCGAGTTTTCTTCAAAGAAAGTTTCAAGTAGTTTCAAGTTTCTTGCAAGTGTAACCACAGGCTAGCAACTCTTATCTTTGATTAAGAGCGCATCCTTTTTCGACGATTAACATTCTGTTCCTCAGTGTCGCCTCAACATCAGGTGAACCTCTCACATCTCCTCATTGCTAAAGCAATCCAAAAGGCTCAGCTTCCTCTTGTACATCAAACATTTTATTCTCCCTCAACAACTTTTATCTTTCTATGAAGCCCATATCTGTTCGATAGTAAGGCTCCTTTTAATACCTTCTAGGACAGGGTACAGGAAAAAAGCTAGTCTGCTGATAGTTCAATATAGGCGTTTGCCTATGTAACAATCACTACATTTGACAAAAAAGTAACTTATTGAGAATTTTCAATCTGCTTGCAATATTAAATCCAATCATTAACTCCGTTTCGCCCTTAAACAATCCATAGGATTTCAAAACCTAACCTCAAGATTTTTTTCTCGATTTATTTTATTTCTCTGCTACCCTTTTCAACCTTAGTGAGTACTGCATGGTGGCCCTCAGCCTGCAGATTTGACATGGAAGATATGGTGGGGTTGCTGTTACATGGTCCATGCATTGGGCAAAGGTACCAGCTCCTGTTTACTACGCATTGATCAGTGCTGAGGTTACAAGTAAGGGCAGAATTGGGCTCCATCATGACATCTCCCATGTTTAAATACCTAACTGATATTGACAGTCCAGGCTCAATTGCAAAGAGTGGTTACGTAAGGGCTATTAGTTCTAATGGAAACTAGTATCAGTCACCGCTTTCTCCTCCCTCCCCCAAATAGGACAAGGGAAAGCAGAAGGAAGTTGGCAAGAATCACCAGATCAGTTTCCAGAGGTCAAGTACACCACTGCTCTGTGGTCAATTACACCACTGCTGTGGCACATGACAAACAAATACAAACAGACCCCAGCAACAACTGAGATTCTCCATAGGGAGAGTCAGCAAGGGCTGCTTGGTTTATATTGTGAACTGAACTTATTAATTGTTCTTATTCATTATATTTAAGCTTGCTCTTAAAATAAAAGTACATAAACTGTTATTCTACAGGCTTAGTTGCGAATAAAAAAAGTCAGTTTTCAGGCAAAAACATACACACAATGAGTGTCAAACATATGATGAATTTTAACTGCAGCAATGGATGCAATGTAACTCGATCAATGTAATCTACTGGTCCTACAATTACAATCAATAGATGCAATGCTCACCTCATCTTCTATTTCAATTTGGTTTAGAGGACATTCTTTAATGATTGAAGTTGTAGAAAATTCCAATCTGGGAGCAATACCCTGAAGAAACAGCAAATTATATCAAGCACTAGGACATGTCTTGCTCACACACAGACAGAAAATAAGAGCCCATACGATTCTCAGAACTTTAATTATTCATTGTAACTTTTACAAATACAAACCACAGCAAATTATATAAACTATACAATCTAAATAGAAATGGCAGCAAGTGAATATGTTCAACTGCTTTTTTTTCACACTATTTTCAGCTATGAGTTATCCTGGGCAAAATCTTTCTATTACAGAATATGAAATAAATATTAAACCTTTATCCTCTACACCCAAATTATTCTTCTATAAACTGGCATCAACACAGACACAATAAATTAAATGACCTCTTTCTCTGCTATAAATTGTCTAAGATTCGATTTCACCTTAAATAACAAATCTACAATCACATGATAGGACATAACTTTCTACTTCAAACACATTTCGCCCACAAATATATAGTCAATTCACTTTACAGCATATTCTGTGAAGCGCTTTGAGACTCTAGAAGACGTGAAAAGCACTATATCAAATGCAAGGATTATTATTATTAGTATGACTATCTTTTTCCACCAGAAAAACTCACTGTTGCAGATAGTTTTCACAATAGGCAAGAAGTTTTAAAAATGGGGTCAATGAAAATAAATGTCAAAATATTTAAGAATCCTCTAAGCGGCTCTTGCTAGGTTTAAAAACACTTCTTTTTTCCCTCCAGCAATTAATGAGGATAACTGGAAGCGGCAGAACTAATATGAACTCTGGGGTGGATGAACCATTCACATTTTGAGTAATTCAATTACAATGTATTATTTTGCTGAAAATAAGATGTAATTTATTGAAAAGTTCTGTGCCAAGTGTAATTATATAGACAGCCTCAGCTCAATTTCCCTCGTATGATATTAACCACATATTCTCTATATTCCTAATTTAATCACACTACAGACACGTCATGTATACTTGATTAGGAGGATAAATGATGAACTGTCTCCATGCCATGTTGCCAAAAAAAGACTTTACTGAAAAGCTTATCAACAAAAAACTCTACACACATGTCCAAATTGGCTATACAAGAAAGTACTCAAAGTAAACAAGATAGTTCCATATATTTTAAGGAGATTAAAAGCTGATTAATTAAGAAAAGAAATTACATATTGATAATGTTTCAGTTGTACTACAAATCAGTTGTAATCTGCAGTTTAACAAAGAATAACTAACAACTCAAAATAAGACACAGTCAGGTGCTCAGTAATAACCAACCCTTAGTTGCATCACCTTCAAAGAATTCTGTGTTGATGAAAGAGAGGGATTACAGTGCTGGGAAAATAATATTTTTCTACTAGCCCCTTGGACAACAATTGAGCATTGCTTTGACAAAGCTCTTATATAGAATCAACAGTGGATTGATTCTGGAAGTTAATGCTTTTCTTCCAACTGCCACTAGATCCTTGATACACAACAATTTATTAATATTCCATATATGACCAAATAATGATGTTGATTTTGTGTTAGATAAATTTATAAAATTTGAAGGGTGATAATAGAACTTTTTAAATATAAATTTCTAAAGTTTTTAGTAAATTATAAAAATATAAGCTTTAAAAGCCCTGTCAGGTAAGGTATAGTGGGCAGATGACATTAGGGCTATAATAATAATAATAATCCCTGCATTTGATATAGCGCTTTTCACGTCTTCTCGATGTCTCAAAGCGCTTCACAGAATATACTGTAAAGTGAATTGACTGTATATTTGTGGGCGAACGCGGCGGCCAATTGCGCACAGCAATGTCCCACAAACAGTCGTGGATTGAAAATGACCAATTTATTATTGTTTTGTTTTGGAGGGACTATTATTAGGCTCTGTGTGGAGTAAGGAAACTTGCCCAAGGTTTCACCCTGCCGCGAATTAAACCCAGGTGTCTCGCTTGCAAAGCGAGTGCTCTGACCACTGAGCTACAGGACTCCACAATTCAATTTACTGTGTGCTACGCTCTACTTCAAGTCTAATTTCAGCTCACAACTTACAGCACCAACATAACTCCAGTTCCTTCTTACAACAAATGCTGTGCCTGAGTGAGATTGCTGAATTACTGCCAATCCTCGCTGAATCAAAAGGACGTTTTATGCTATTGACTCAAGCCCATTGGGAACGGAGTTCAGACTACCCAGTGGCAGGGTGACTGGCAGACAGGCAGAGCCATAATTACAACCTTCTTCTCACAGGCTAAGGGCAACAATCAGCAAGAATTCTTCCTATCTCTCGATTAGATAGAGATTTTATGTGGAAATGAATCTATATACTGCATGATTTTTTTCTTAAAATCTAAGCCTATTAAAGTAAAAACATGTGGATTAAATGCGGTGATTATTGCCTTCCTGAAAAGTGCAATAATCTGTACCTGTTTCATAACATTTGCACGAATATTTCCATAAAGAACTTGACATAAAAGCAGAAACTTAGGTTTCGCCAGTTTGAAAAAAAACTAAGAACCAGGAAATGGGGAACTGCCCATAAAAAGCCTGCTTCCCAGCTGACTTGTAAGAAATCTCTTCCCGAGAGGAAAGACATATGCACCCAATTTACACACCACTAGTCTGACAGCCATGTTACTTTACTCAGATTACGATCTGACAATTTCCTAAATGTAATAATAATAATCCTTGCATTTGACATAGCGCTTTTCACATCTTCTAGCCATCTCAAAGGGCATCACAGAATAGACAGTCACAGTCTTAAAATTAAGGGTCAGCCTTTTAGAACAGAGTTGAGGAAACATTTCTTCACTCAGAGGGTAGTGAATTTATGGAATTCACTCCCCCAGAAGGCTGTAGATGTCAGTCCTTCAACATCTTCAAGGCTGAGACTAATAGATTTTTAAAACACAAACGGATTAGGGGATATGGGGATAGGGCAGGTAATTAGAGTTAGGTCTGAAGATCAGCCATAATCTTATCAAATGGCGGGGCAGGTTCGAGGGGCTGAATGGACTACTCCTGCTCCTAATTCTTACGTTCTTATGTTCTTATGAATTGGGTGTATATTTGTGGGCGAAACACGGCAGCCAATTGCTCACAGCAGTGTCCCACAAACAGTCAGGGATTGAAGTGACTAATTTTATTATTTTTTTTGAAGGATTATTATCAGGCGTGTGGAGTAAAGAAACTTGCCCAAGGTTTCACCCTGCCGGGAATCAAACCTTGGTGTCTCGCTTGAGAGGTGAGTGCTCTAACCACTGAACTACAGGATTCCACAGGACTCTAAATGTAGCAGTTTCATTCAAACATTGGTGCCTGTCAAAATCTAAAACTAAACCAAATTATTGCAGAGCTGCTATTAGGCTCACTGATGCTCTACCAATTAATTTTTAAAAAGTAATCATTAAATTGATCATCCAAGTACCTGAAAGGTTATCCCTAAATTTGTCCATAGAGGATTCAATAATGTAAATGACCCAGACTGTAATGAATTTCTCCAGAACATCAAACAACACAGAATTTTTATGATTTAAAAATAGAACCTGTAAAATTGGCTTCAGCTTCTATAAATTTCTCCACGTTGATTATTGTCCAGAGCCATGTTTTAGTGCAGTTATGCTGTGTTAACAGTGAACGGTTCTAATTCATTAAACATTTTGGCCTGTATTGCTGCCTCGGCTGGCATCAGTCACGTTTCTCTAATTAGGTAATATTGGTACCTATCAATGTCTATTCAAGATCCTCATCCTCACCTACAAGGCCATTCACGGCCTTGCTCCCTCCTACCTCTCCAACCTACTATCCCCCTACCTACCTGCCCGTACCCTCCGTTCCTCTGGCTCCGGTCTGCTCCACGTCCCCCGCCCCAACCGCCCTACTATCGGTGGTCGGGCCTTCAGCCTCTCAGCCCCGAGGCTCTGGAACTCCATCCCCCAGTGCCTTCGCCGCTTCCTCCCTCTCCTCCTTCAAGGCCGGTCTCAAAACCTTTCTCTTTGACCTTCAGCCTTCAGCTCCCCTCTCGACTCTCCACCCCCTCCTCGCTCCCTCCCTTCCCTCCCCTCACCCTGACCATTTCCCCCCTCCTCTCTCCCTCCCTTCCCTCCCCTCACCCTGACCATTTCCCCCCTGCTCGGGTCATGACCCAACTGTGCAGCGCCTTGGGACGTCCTCCTGACGTGAAAGGCGCTCTATAAATGGAATCTTGTTGTTGTCTTGTTGTTGTATTGAGAGCAAATAGGATTCATAGAGTGAAATATTGAGTATTACCTTCAACTCCTCAAATTACTGAGGTCACAAATATCAATACTATCATGCTGGGATTGTGATTATATCAATGCTGATATAAGCACTTTATATATTGTTAAAATATCCCAAACTATTTTCTAACATTTTGAAACAGATCGCCTACATGTATTTACCTATGTTCACTTCAGCAATATGTTCGTAATGTGCACTGAATAATCTCTCAAAACAACCATCAGTAATTTCATGCTTAGACAATAGCTAAAATGATTTCTAACAAGAACAGCTTATGTCTGTATTTTTTTAAAAATCCTAGTTGGAAGCAGTGTAAATATCAACCTTAAAAACCCAAAACATTCTAAAAAAAAAGCATCGAAAAGCCCCTCATTTACTTTATATAAAATGACTGTGTTTGTTTCCACGTATTGCTCAGATTTCACTTCAGCAGTGGCCGAGTTCTATTGACTGCTCATTTTTGCTCGGGAAGAAAACTGCTGGAAGCTAAATTTACCCGATGTAAAATTTTGCCATAACTCTGGACTGTTTGCAGAATTTATATTAGCAATTTCAAGGAGCCAATCAGTCATATGGACAAGCATCAGGCCAGAATTGAAATCTGTTACATCGTTAGTCATGGTTTACGAGCTATATGGAGTCTCTCCGACTGAGATTTTCCTATCATTCTGTCTATACTACTCACAATTTGTGCTTTTGTTCAGCTACTCGCCCAGAACCCAAAAAAAATGCTGACGGTGTGATTCAAGCGCAGAACGGTATATATGTATATATCAATGAAAGAAGATGTGCGTGTCTGTGCTTTCTGATTTGCCTCCTAACCACATGAGCGTTAGTGTTGGCCATGGTCACAATGGACCTCTGTTTTCTGGGGCTACAGTTTGATTGGCTCATTTTAAAATGAGTGACATTGGCCATGTATCTATATTAATTAAAATAATTATGTTCAAGGATTTGATTTGGGGTCCACGTTGTTGAACACGTGGTTAGCAGCAGGAAAGAAGGTCAAAAGCAACAGCACTGAATTGGTCCCTAATATGGATCACACAATTTGCAACTGTTTGTCATATGATAATACTGACGTTCAGTCAGCCATTTCCACACAACCTTTTTTACTGAGTTTGAAAATTGGAATAACCAACTGAAGTTTTCATTTATTGCCCACCAGATGCCCTTGTAGTTTATATTCAAATATATCAATTCTAAAACTTGTGAGTTCAGGGATAAACAGCAGCATTTCAGGAAATTCCATTAAAACTGAAGAACGTAAAGCAAAACTAAGGGAAATTTACTCTGTTTTTTTAGTCCAGCCTTCTGGTAAAGTACACTAATCTTACATAATAATAATAATCCTTGCATTTGATATAGCGCTTTTCACGTCTTCTCAACGTCCCAAAGCGCTTCACAGAATATACTGTAAAGTGAATTGACTGTATATTTGTGGGCGAACGTGGCAGCCAATTGTGCACAGCAATGTCCCACAAACAGTCATGGATTAAAAATGACCAATTTATTATTGTTTTGTTTTTTTGGAGGGATTATTATTAGGTGTGTGGAGTAAGGAAACTTGCCCGAGGTTTCGCCCTCTGCCTGGAATTGAACTCAGGTCTCTCACTTGCAAAGCGAGTGCTCTAACCACTGAGCTACAGGACTCCACATCTAACCTGACTAGGTAGTACTTGCAGGCAGTATTGCATAGAAAACTGAAAAATGTCATTCTCCCCTTTTCCATCACTGAACTCCTTCTGAACAAGTTTTGTTCAAGAGAAAATGTATTCATTCTTTATAATTGATGTTCATGTAAAACTTGTTTATGTACTGAATTGTAAGTATGCATTAATACTCACTTACAGGGAAATTAATAGACCGCTTCATTAACAGCTCCCTGTCTGAGCCAGTATAGGTTGGAGTCAGTCTCGGCCCCGGATAAAGAAAGTCCCTTGTGTTCTCCTCATGGACAGCTAGCGTTTCACCTGCTACAAAAATAGGACAAAAAGTGAAACAATTTTCAAAGAGTTAATTGAAATACACAAAATTTTATATACTAGACTTATACTGGCAAGTTACCAGAATTTACTAACTCACCAGTATAAGTCTAGTTGCTGTAATAAACTTTAAAAATTAACCTATGCATGCATGAAATACAGTAAGTTTTTTTAATATGAACTTGAATAAAGTGAAACCCTCCGAGACGCTATTCTAACTTAATGGTGGTACATAAATGCAATTTTTTGTTGTTTCTGAATAGGGAAAGGAGATAATTATTTTCTCTTTGAAGATTCTGTATTTGTTTTCCTTATTTCTAAGGCTTTTATTTCAGATCTTTAAGAATGAGGGATCTCTGTGCACTTCAGTCAAAAACAACAGGATAGCAACACAATAATAATAACAACAACACAATACTGCTGCTGTATTTCTAGTTGTGGAAAGCACTCCCTAATGACTAGATAGTATAATTCACACATTATTTGGTATTCTATCCAGTGTAGTTGCATATGCACATCTAATTGCAGGAAGTGCCAATGCATATTCTTACATCTTACATGCACAGTGCACACCAAGTAATGTCAGGTGACCCAACAATCCAGAAGTCGTCCTTATTTTACTCAATTATTATAACACAGGTCTGAGATATTGAACCCTGACAATCGTGCTAGAATGGTGTTACCATGAAAACAAGTCAAAATAAGGTGGAGGGAGGAAGAAGAGGGTAACAACAACAACAACAACCTGCAAATATATAGCACCCTTCATGCAGTGTACCATCCTGGAGCGCTTGAGAGTGAGTGAGTCTGAGCCTGAGGGAAAGGGAGGAGGGTGATGACCGTCAGCACGATCAAAAAGGAAGGTCTTTAAGCCAGATTTGAAAGCGGTGAAGAAGGCGGCAAGGCGGAGGGATTGAGGGAGAGTTTCGGGGCCTAGTGGCTGAAGGCACAGCAACCGATGGGGGAGCGGAGGGCAAGAGGGAAAAACAGGAGTGGTGTAGAGTTGGGTAAGCAGGTCGGAGAGGAAGGGAGGTGCAAGGGCATGAAGGGATTTGAAAACCAATGAGAAGAATGTTGAAATTGATCCATTCAGTATCTGGGAGCCATGGGAGCCTGGAAAAGACTGGTGTAATGGGGTACAGAGTTTTGTGTGGGTGAGAATCCAGGCAGCGGAGTTTGGGGTTAATTGAATTTTGTAAGAGGGTAAGAGGGTGGAGATAAGTGGCATCATCCTGGTGTTGTACTGAGGCCAAGGAGATATTCCAGGTACCACCAGGAAGATTATTAGTAACCCAACATATTGCTGATGGTTGTCCACCATGTTTAGTTTACCAATGAAATATATAGGTCAAGCTCCAAAGGATAGGGGTGTCATAACCATAACAGTACAATGAAAATGACAAGTTCTTTGCAATAGCAAGCTCCATGATTACAATCAGGAAAGATTAGGTTTTAAGGTACAGCACTAATGTGTACAGCATTTAAAATGTTTGTGGTACTTTTCTTAAGACGTGTAGCTATCAGCAAAATATATATATTCCCACTGGGCAAATACAAATATAACAAGAGAGAAAAATATATATTTTTCAGTACCTGGGGGAGTCAGCTGTATCAATTCAAACTTTGTTGTATCCACTGCAAAGGAACAAATCATAAAACAGCACAAGCTCAGTATTAAAGAAATGATAAGTAAGTCAAAAAGATTAAGATGTACATGTTCAGAACACGTACATATTCAAAAAAACTAATGTTCTGCTCTTACGTTCCAGAAGGTCAGCAAGATGTGCTGGATTCATAGCTTCCGGAAAGATCTAAATTTATACAAAGGAGAAGAAAGAAAATCAATTCCAAGGAATCACTAGCTGGGATCACAGGGAAGTATTTGTTTCACATTTCAGCATTGAAACAAATCCAATACCAAAATAGCTATTTCAGTCAGAACAACTGGTGATACTGGTTTTGTAGAGGACTTGTAAATCCGGATTGATGAACACTCTGAAAAGAAATAGATCTTGCTAAGAATTCACGAGTAGCATTTCACTGGGAGTAAACTCCTGCACTTGGACAGTACACATCAATTTAATGTAATATAAAAACAGAAGTCACTGGGAACACTCAGCAGGTCAAGTAGCATCTATGGAGAGAGGAAAGTGAGTTAATATTTCAGGTTGATGACCTTTGGTCACTTTCCTCTCTCCATAGATGCTGCCTGACCTGCTACGTGTTCCCAGCGACTTCTGTTTTTATGTCAGATTTCCAGCATCTGCAGTATTTTGCCTTTTACATATCAATTTAATGTTGCTTTTATCTTTTTTTTATATTTTGTTAAGCACTGAATGCAACTACCCCCAATTCGATAGTCGTTTGAAGGCATTAGTTAAACCGGAGTACTGAACCCATTTTATCAACATCAAAAGAGCAAAGAGCTGAGTGCACCCACTGGGATTCGAACGTGGAAGCTTCTAATCCCATATCCAGTACTCTGCTGATTGAGCTATGCTTACACCAGGAAATAGAAGCTAAATCCTTATTGACATGTATTTTTTTATGTATATTTCAATAACGCAATGACAGACTCATTTAAGTGAAACATATATTGAATAGTGTGTAGTGCAGTCCTAAATAATTTGCAAAGTTCTGAATTGTTTATTTCTGGAAACAAAGAATAAGCAGAATTTACTCTTGATGCAACTGGATTAAATTTAATGGTAGATTTCTGGGAAGGACTTAAAGTCGATTTGTGTGTTGCGCGGGAGGGGGAGGGTCTTGGAAAACACTAAATGAGTTGCTTCTTGCTCATTTCTTTTACTTATAGAAACAAGGAGAAACAGAAGATTGCCGGAACCAGGTTCGGAATCAAAACGGTCATAGCATAAAAGGTCCTCCAATTACAATAGAACTAATGGAAAGAAAAGCCTAGGATCAGCAGAATTGTCTACAGGCCGACACAGTTATACAGCAATATGGAAGAGCGCAGTCTACTTATGTAATTTGTATCACAAAATACACAGTCAATCTGCTTGACAATATATTCTGTGAAGCGCTTTATGACATCCCAATGTAATAAGGTACTATATGAAATGCAAGGATTATTATTATTAAATATTCTGGCTAGTCACCTAGTCCTCCCTGCCCGCACATCTTTTTTTTTCTTTCTCTCTCTTGCATGCATCGGGTTTCCTCTTAAATGCATCATTAGTGCACAGCAAAGTCCCTGCACATTTTGGTGGGAAGAATTGCATTCTCTTAGACTGCATTAAACAATTCCATCCATAGTTTAATCACATAAATGATGCTGACAAAAAAACTCACATTCAGAATCAATACAAATATTGTACGTATCAAATTAAGTAATTAATTAAACAACAGCACTTTTCTAAATCATCTGGGTCATGTAAGTACAGTATTTATAAACTCATTTTCGACAGATCAATCTACTTACCTTTTCAAACTTCATTTTTCCATTGAAATTCAATGGAAATATCGAAGGAAGAAACTTGGTTTTATGGAATTTTCCCATTATGCATACACTCAGATAGACATCATCCTTTTCGGGCAGGAACACCCCAGGGCATGTGACCTGTCACAAGTGAAAAATAAAATAATAAACTAATTCTTTAAAGCAATCATTCAGAATCTATCCTGCCCTTTTTTTAATGAGTTTGTTCTTTGGCTGCAACGTATTGAGGAAAACCTTACATAAGAACATAAGAAATAGGAGCAGGAGTAGGCCATTCGCCCTTTGAGCCTGCCCCGCCATTTAATAAGATCATGGCTGATCTTCTAACCCAATTCCATTTACCTGCCCTGTCCCCATATCCCTTAATCACTTTAGTTTTTAAAAATCTTCTGCTTTGACCATACATACGGTCGTCTCCCCTCTCCTTTATTCGGCTTCAGGCTCTGCCACTGTTAAGCGCTCACACGAAGGGTGCTATAAATGCAAGTTTTTGTTGTCGAGGTCTAATCTACCCTTGGTTTGAAACTCTGAAAGGTACTCCATATAATAGGCTTTTTAGCACACTGGATAACAGGCAAGTAACATGTTGTAGTTTGACTTACAAGTTATCACCTAAACATCAGAACACCTTCCCTCTACATGTCTTTAAATCCCACCTAAAAACCCACCCCCACCCCTTTGACTGTGACTATAATCACCCCCTCCCACCCCACCCACTCACTCAGCATGCGACATAATCTCTGTCAAGTTCTTTGACACGTTATTCTATGTGGAAGGAGCGATAGAAGCTGTTGTTCTCTTTGTGGTACTTCAACGGGACGATGAGACCAGGGAACTTGGTATATGGAAATAGGCACATAAACAGATGCCATGCTTGAGTAGCATAGTAAGTGCACACATCAAGGCACTACATTAATTACCACTTTCATTTTATTATTTTTAACCATTGCACATGAAATATGGCCTGACAAAAACAAACCGAAGCATACCTTCAACCAGTAAACATTAGATGATATTACTAGGGATTCAGTCAAGCAGAGAGGACAGGATTTAAAATTACAGTATTCCACAATGTAGCACAGATTCAACACATCCATTGATCAAAACATGTGCAATATATAACAGATTGAAAAGCAGTACTGCACAATAATTTCATCAATGGATTCATCTCCCATCATAAACATCTGGAACGACAAAGCGAATTGTGGCCTTCAACTCAATCTTGGTCGTTTTCATAAAGTCACATTTCCAATATTTTGGAGTCTGATTCTCTGATATGGTCACATTCCAACAGTCAAGAAATGAGCACAGTCCCCACCAAAATTTGTCAGTCAGGTGTTTGACAAATGCGGAAACCATTCACCGTGCCTAGCAGTAACTGGGAACACGGTTGTTAGTCGATTGGCTTTACCGGGGGTAATAATTTGTTCAAAAAAATTAATTTGGACACTAAATCGATGACTGTTTGTGGGAAACTCCTGTTGCCAATTGGTTGCTGGGTTTCACCCACAAAACATAGTCAATTCACTTCACAGTATCTTCTGTGAAGCGCTTTGAGAGGTCTCGAAGATATAAGGCACTACATCAAATGCAAGGATTATTATTATTATTAACAGTATCCAAACCAAACTGAGAATTGCACACATCCCACCTACACATGGAGATTCCTGAGATAGATTATTAGGCACAGGAGGGGAGGGGGGAACCACAGAGTATGTGTTGGGGTAACTGCTGGAGTCTAACCAACTAAAACCGTGTATAGCCACTGACATTAAGCTACTTCCCACTCAGGTCAGGTTTAACCTTTACAGTGCAATATTAAAACACAGAGGAATTGCACTGCCTGAGGCTCCATCCCACCCAGAGCTTAATCACATCAACTGGGGGTCAATTACTCCAATGATGTGAGGAGGCGGGGCTCTGGCCCCTCCGAGGAGGCGGGCGCTAGTTCCCCCAGAGGAGGCGGGGCTCTGGTTCCCCATGAGGAGGCGGGGCTCTGGTTCCCCATGAGAAGGCGGGGCTCTGGTTCCCCTGAGGAGGCGGGGCTCTGGTTCCCCCCGAGGAGGCGGGGCTCTGGTTCCCCATGAGGAGGCGGGGCTCTGGTTCCCCTGAGGAGGCGGGGCTCTGGTTCCCCATGAGGAGGCGGGGCTCTGGTTACCCTGAGGAGGCGGGGCTCTGGTTCTCCATGAGGAGGCGGGGCTCTGGTTCCCCTGAGGAGGCGGGGCTCTGGTTACCCTGAGGAGGCGGGGCTCTGGTTCCCCTGAGGAGGCGGGGCTCTGGTTCCCCATGAGGAGGCGGGGCTCTGGTTCCCCTGAGGAGGCGGGGCTCTGGTTCCCCTGAGGAGGCGGAGCTCTGGTTCCCCATGAGGAGGCGGGGCTCTGGTTCCCCCTGAGGAGGCGGGGCTCTGGTTCCCCGGAGGAGGCGGGGCTCTGGTTCCCCGGAGGAGGCGGGGCTCTGGTGTCCCCCATGGAGGCGGGGCTCTGGTGTCCCCCATGGAGGCGGGGCTCTAGTTCCCCTGAGGAAGGCGGAGCTCTGGTTCCCCCCAAGGAGGCGGGGCTCTGGTTCCCCCCAAGGAGGCTGGGCTCTGCTTCCCCATGAGGAGGCGGGGCTCTGGTTCCCCCCTGAGGAGGCGGGGCTCTGGTTCCCCCCTGAGGAGGCGGGGCTCTGGTTCCCCCTGAGGAGGCGGGGCTCTGGTTCCCCCCTGAGGAGGCGAGGCTCTGGTTCCCCCCATGGAGGCGGGGCTCTGGTTCCCCTGAGGAGGCGGGGCTCTGGTTCCCCTGAGGAGGCGAGGCTCTGGTTCCCCCATGGAGGCGGGGCTCTGGTTCCCCTGAGGAGGCGGGGCTCTGGTTCCCCCAAAGAGGCGGGGCTCTGGTTCCCCTGAGGAGGCGGGGCTCTGGTTCCCCCCAAGGAGGCGGGGCTCTGGTTCCCCAGAGGAGGCGGGGCTCTGGTTCCCCTGAGGAGGCGGGGCTCTGGTTCCCCCCATGGAGGTGGGGCTCTGGTTCCCCTGAGGAGGCGGGGCTCTGGTTCCCCCCAAGGAGGCGGGACTCTGGTTCCCCCCAAGGAGGCGGGGCTCTGGTTCCCCAGAGGAGGCGGGGCTGTGGTTCCCCATGAGGAGGCGGTGCTCTGGTTCCCCATGAGGAGGCGGGGCTCTGGTTCCCCCCAAGGAGGCGGGGCTCTGGTTCCCCAGTAGAGGCGGGGCTCTGGTTCCCCAGAGGAGGCGGGGCTCTGGTTCCCCCCAAGGAGGCGGGCTCTGGTTCCCCCCAATGAGGCGGGGCTCTGGTTCCCCAGAGGAGGCGGGGCTCTGGTTCCCCTGAGGAGGCGGGGCTCTGGTTCCCCCCATGGAGGCGGGGCTCTGGTTCCCCATGAGGAGGCGGGGCTCTGGTTCCCCCAGAGGAGGTGGGGCTCTGGTTCCCCAGAGGAGGCGGGGCTCTGGTTCCCCTGAGGAGGCGGGGCTCTGGTTCCCCTCTGAGGAGGCGGGGCTCTGGTTCCCCTCTGAGGAGGCGGGGCTCTGGTTCCCCAGAGGAGGCGGGGCTCTGGTTCCCCAGAGGAGGCGGGGCTCTGGTTCCCCTGAGGAGGTGGGGCTCTGGTTCCCCAGAGGAGGCGGGGCTCTGGTTCCCCATGAGGAGGCGGGGCTCTGGTTCCCCAGAGGAGGCGGGGCTCTGGTTCCCCTGAGGAGGCGGGGCTCTGGTTCCCCCCATGGAGGCGGGGCTCTGGTTCCCCATGAGGAGGCGGGGCTCCGGTTCCCCAGAGGAGGCGGGGCTCTGGTTCCCCATGAGGAGGCGGGGCTCTGGTTCCCCTCTGAGGAGGCGGGGCTCTGGTCCCCCCCACGAAGCCCCGCCTCCTGCTTCACACCATTGGTAGAACACGTCCCGCGCTGCCACTCTCCCATTGGCCGGCGATGGCGTCAATCACTCTTGTTCAGCCAATCACATTTGAAGGCCGTGGCGGCGGCGGCGCGAGGAGGATCCGCCCCCCACTCCCTCCAACGGCCGTTTGTTGCCGTGGACACGGTCTGACCGTCTGTTATTAGCCTCAGAGACAAGAGCGGCCTTTATTACTGTAGCGCGCGGCAGACCCGGGACACACAGTCCTGCTCTCTGTGGTTGTTACTGTTTTATATTATATTATTATCAAAGGACAAAACCTGAGATTCCTCTCAGAGAGACAACAACCGGCGGGGAGGGCCCCGGGCGGGCGGGCGGGCGGGAGGGCGGGAGGGCCCGCGAACTCACCGCCTGCACGTCCAGCCGCACTGTGCACCTGAGAGCTTTCCTCGACATCGTGTGTCCTCGGCGAGTATCCGCTAATCTCTCTCTGTGCGCACAGCGAGTGTCCGGGCGGCGCTCTCTCTCTCTCCCCGTGAGGCCGATGGGCGGCGGCAGACACCGAGAATCCTCGCGTTGCCATGACACCGGAACTCAGCGTGATGACGCGACGCTGCCCTCGCCACTCCTCGTGGCAACCGCTAGAGGCCCTGCCCTGCCTGGAGCACCCCCCCGGCAGTGTGTCCTGCACTACACTGTATGCTGAAGGCAAAATACTGCCGATGATAATAATAATCCTCTCGCATTTGATACAGCGTCTCAGCACGCCTTCGAGACATCGGTTGAACGACATGCATCGAAGAATGGCTCACGGGAAGAAAACAGAGAGTAGGGATAAATGGGTCCTTCTCAGATTGGCGGGAGGTGACTCGTGGAGTGCCACAGGGATCAGTGCTGGGCCTCAGCTATTTACAATCTACAGCAATGATCTGGACGAGGAAATAGAACTTAACGCATCTAAATTCACGGATGACACAGCTGGGTGGGGGAGTGAGCTCTGAGGATGACACAAAAAGATTGCAAAGGATAGGCTCGGGGAGTGGGCGAGTAGGTGGCAGATGGAATTTAATGTGGGGAAGTGTGAAGTTATTCACCTCGGTAGAAAAAAGAGAAACACAGATTATTTTCTAGAGGGGGAGAGATTAGATAGCGTTAGTGTGCAGAGGGATTTGGGTGTCCTTGTATACCAGTCTCAAAAAGTTAGTTTGCAGGTGCAGCAGCAACTAAGAGGGGGAACGGCATATTAGCGTTCATTGCAAAAGGATTCGAGTACAAGAGTAGGGAAGTCTTACTGCAACTGTATAGGGCCTTGGTGAGACCGCACCGAGAGGATTGTGTGCAGTTTTGGTTTCCTTATTTAAAAAAGGACATATTTGCCCTCGAGGGGGTGCAGCGTAGGTTCACCAGGTTAGTTTCTGAGTTGAGGGAGTTGACCTATGAGGAGAGGTTGAGTAAACTAGGCTTATATTCTCTACAATATAGAAGAATTAGGGGTGATTTTATAGAAATATATAAGATTCTTATGGGACTTGACAGAGTAGAAAGTGCGAGACTATTTCCCCTGTTAGGAGAATCTAGAACCAGGGGTCATAGTCTTAAGATTAATGGACAGCCCTTTCGAACAGAGTTGAGGAAACACTTCTTCACTCAGAGGGTAGATAATTTATGGAATTCTCTACCCAAGAAGGCTGTAAATACTCAGGCCTTGAACATATTCAAGACTGCGATTGATAAGTTTCTAAAGAACAGAGGGATTAAGGGATATGGGGATAAGACGTGCAGATGGAATCAGGTTAGAAGATCAGCTACGATCTTATTGAATGGCGGAGCAGGCTCGAGGGGCCGAATGGCCTACGCCTGCTCCTAATTCGTATGTTACTATCCTATGAGATGTCTCAAAGAGCTTCACAGGATATTACTGTTAAGTGTAGTGACTATGTAGTTTGTGGGACAAACGCGGCAGCTAATTGCGCACAACATTGTCCCACAAACAGTCATGGGTTGAGTGAGCAATTTATTATTAATTTTTTTGAAGGATTATTATTCCCTGGGAAAGAGATACCCCCAATCGATTAACAACCGGGTTCCTACTTACTGCTTGTAAACAGAGGCGTATGGAGTAAGGAAACTTACCCAACATTTCGCCCTGCTGGGAATCGAACCCAAGTCCTCTCGCTTGCGAGACGAGTGCTCCAACCACTGAGTCACAGGATATGAAATGAAAACAAAAGCCCCTGGGAACACTCAGGTCAGGCAGCATGACCTTTGGTCATGGAGAGACAACCTTTGGTCATCGACCTGAAACATTAACTCGCTTTCCTCTCTCCATAGGTGCTGCCTGACCTACTGCCTGTTCCCAGCCACTTCTGCTTTTATTATGGTATTGCTATGTGTGTGGACAAGCTCACAAGAGAAGTCATTCCTGTTATTAATGATAATAATAATATTTATATTTGATTGTTGCACCTTTCACTGTCTTGAAGCACTTCAACAACTACAACAGCATCTTGCATTCATATCGCTTTACATTTGTATAGGGCCCTTCACATCGGGAGGACGTCCCAAGGCGCTGGACAGTGTACAGCATTTCAGATCTGAGCTGGGGTCAGAGGTGGGGAAGGGGGGCAGCCGATGGCGTGGCTCTGGTGCCCTTCTTGCAGGGATAGCACCTTGGGAGCGCTCAACAGGATTCACTGTAAAGTATACTGACTGTATTCTGTACAGGGGCGACAATCGATTTTCGCAGAAGAGGTTCACAATATTGACAATCCATTTGATATAACCCCTTTCACATCGGGAAGACATCTCAAAGCACCTCACAGAATTTACTGCAAAGTGTATTTTGTAACCCATTGCATCGACCAATTTGTGCACAGCAATGCCGTGCAGTCAGCCAGTGAAATGAATGATTATATCCAGCGCTTTCCCCAGGCACTGCAGTCTGTGTCAGTCTAGACTGGGAGCTCAAACCCCTGATGTGGAGACTTGAACCAACAACCTTCTGACTCAGCGACAATGCAGAACTTTGAAATCAAATATTTGGGTTTTTTAACAGCAATATCAACACAACATTTGTAAAATTGGTTGGTTTGAACCCATAATTCTTACAGACATAAGATCAATAGAGGTTTGTGGATGTTTTATAAGAACCTTTCAAGTAAAAAAGGAAAACTTGGCATTATTTCAACGAGCCTTGCAAATCAATTTGATAGACAGTAGAAGGTATGCAAAACAGGTAGCCTGCCACTTGAAATGTTTGTCTGCATAAGTGCCCAAGCATGTAGCTGTGGTAATGTTGTGCATATGATATCACCACAGATTGCGAACCTGTCCATCCCCATTGCTGTCAGTGAAAAACAAATCACCAGTTACACCAGTTGTTGCTTTTTATAACAGATCCTCAGAGAATTACATAGAACGTTACAGCACAGAAACAGGCCATTCAGCCCAACCAGTCCATGCTGGTGTTTAAACTCTACATGAGCCTCCAGCTTTCCTAATTCTTTTGCATGCTCTGCTACCTTCTCCTTCATGTCTGCATCTTGTTTCCTCTTCATGCTTTCTGCTTCAACCACAGCTTCCCAAGGTGAGTTCCACATTCACCGCAACTCTGTGTCTGTGTGTGTGGGGACTTTGGCCAAGGATTTGAGTGACAGCAACTTTCAGAAGAGGAGAAAATTTGCAAAGTAAAAGTGTACATCTTCAAATCCGTTACATTTAGCGAGGCAAATTTCTCACCTATTCTGCCTGCTCATACGACTATAATAAAATAAAGGTTGTCAATCATATCCTCTAAGATTACATATAACCTGAGCAACATATAGTCTAGGCTGACACTTCAGTGCAGCGTTGGGGATAAGCTACATTGTTGAGGGTGCTGTCCCCATGTCTCATGTGCCTGTTCAGGTATTCACCTGAAAGATGTAAAAGCTCTCTTGACACTATTTGAGAAGAGAGTTTCTTCACATGTCCTGGCTAACTATCCCTCAAAATAAAATCGATTATTCGCTCCATGTCTTTGTGGAACATTGCCAAATTGGCTGCTGTGTTCACCTAAAGCAAACAGCCACTACATCCTGTGAAGCACTTTGATGTGAAGGATGTTGGAGCAGATGCAAGGATTATTATAAGATAAAGAATAATTAAGATTTCAGCACAGACGGAAGTTATTGATTCCGAAGTAAGTTAGTGCTTGAGCTACATACTCTAACCCCAACTCCCTGGCTCTTTTCAGTGACCATTTTATGTCGCTGGTGTACGTACACACCTATGTACTTCACATGTGTGTGCTGTGAGGGGTTCAATCAAACTTCTTATTGCTCTTTCACTGTTTTACTGTCCATAACTCTGTCTGTCCAGCGCCTTGGGCTATCCTCTCGGCGTGAAAGGTGCTATACAAATGTAATTTTGTTGTTCAAGTCTTATTGGAGAAGTGATTAGGCAGAGATAACCATGTCTTTTGTTAAGCTTGAGGTCGTTGCTGTATTGTCCTGTTCAGGCTGGTTGCTTTTCTCACACCACCCAATGCTTTGAGCAGCAATCTTGAACCCAGGTCATGCTAGTTATGGGGCACCACGAGTGGCAAGTCCACTGCAACTCACCAACCTGTCATGTGCCTTTCTGCTGAGCAATATTCATTTTGTGTCAATTTTAGTTCGGATCAATGCAAGATGTACGGTATAATGAGGGACAAGGTTTTTCCCAGTGCCAGTCAAATAAGCGTGTTTTCCCATCTGTTAAACTCCAGGCACATTTGTGAGATGTCAGTTATGGGAACACCTCTTGCACAGCTAAGGCAGAACAAGATTTTGGTTAGACACATAAAATAGTTCCTATTCTATCATTGTAGCTATTTATAAAGCATGGAGCCTGCAAAAACCTTTGCAGAAACAGTACAAAGTGATCAGTTATGAGAATGAGAGCAGTCATGAGTTGTTTATTATTTTATCCCAAACAAACAAACGGAAATGGATAAAAAGCCCAGTAGCAAAAACTAATAATGGAATCTCTTATCTTGTTTTTGATCTCGGTGACAATAATATGTAAAATAATGCACTTTAAAAATGGAATTGTGTACCATTCATTAAACTAGTTGAGCTACTGTTCAAAGGAACCCATCCAGAAAGCATTTGAAACTTTATGTTCACTTTGATGTCTCCTATGAAGGACACTCCTCCAGCACTACATTGGCGAAATCAGACTGTGAGTTCAAGGTTCCGACATGGAGCTTGAACCCAAATATAGTTAACAGTGCCAGACCTGACTTATCATATTTTCAATCTTGCCTGAAAAGTACTATTATTGAAACTCAGTGACCATTTCATTTTGATTTTTCTCTGAAAATGCTGCTAGTTTTATCCATGAAGATGTAACACATCATGCGTGGTGAGTTTTAGCTGCTGTAATAAATAGGAGAAAGGGCAATGCAGCAACGAGCAACAATGAGAAAAACCATTTACTCATTTTGTGATGTAAAAAACAAGATATTATGTGCGCTTTGTACATTTTAAAATACCTAATTTATAAGAAATTAAACTACCAAATATACACAGATTTACAGATTTTTCATTTTGGTCGAAGACTAATGAGTCACAAACAGAATAATGTCTTTAGTAATATCAGCCTTAAAAAACATTTTGCTTAATGAGGTACTAAGTCTTTATAATTAGGCTCAGAAAGGGAACAATATCTTGTTCATGGGGGTCATGTTGATTGCTAAGGCTATTTACTTAATTTAAAAGATTCACAATATTAATTGTTTGAAGAAATTATACATTTCCTTCAACAATTCCCAAATAAAATTGGTCCCTTGTTCCTATTGGTCACTCGGCTATTTATGGGACACTGCTGTGGCTGCCACATTTCACCCACAAAATACGCAATCAATCCACTTTACAGTATGTTCAATAAAGCGTCTATATCAAAACGCAAGGATTATTATTATATTGCTGAATAAGCAGTAATGCCACTCCACAAACCATCGACCGCCTCCACAGCTCCCCCACTCCCCCCGAAGACGTCAATTTGTGAGCAAACCAATGTATCCCAAACTGATTAACAATTTCAATCCAGCTTTTCTCTCATGAAAGTTGGTCCCAATAGGCTATTCACCAACACACATAGTCGCAAACTGGCAAGCATAATAATGCTACAATTGAGGCTGGGGTCCTTAGTGATTTTTGTTTGTAATTTTTATACTTAAAAAGTTGTTTTATTGCACTGTGTATGTACACCCCTGTGTGTGGTTTACAGCACAATTAAATATTCTCCAAAGAGCCTTGAAATGCAGTGACTGTCACTATGTAAGATAGTAATTGCCATGTTTTTCCCCATGGCTTTAGATCTAATATAAAATAGCAATGATAATCTAAAATTCATATTTCAAAAGGCTTTGTGCCACAAATTCTTTAGTAATTAAGCAGCAAAGCACCTTATCAAATAAACATGCTTTCATTAAGTTTCTATTCATTTGTTGAAATTAGATCATAGACAAATTGCAATCCAGACGGCAGCATTAGTCAAGGGTATACATATTTTATCTGCAAACAACTCAAGGAAATGCACACTTATTTCTCAAAAACTGGCGTTAGTATTTCTCATTCTAGATATATTCTCCAGTGTTTCCTGGTATTAGATCAAAGTACTATTAAGTGCAAAAGTCGGAAATAGAGTGGAGATGACATTTAAGCAGGGAAATGATTTGCCCTGACAGTTCTTTCAAACACAGTGCTTATTCAATTGTATTATTTTGTCATTGCAAAGATTTAGAGAAAGATCACAAAATCAGGTAAAATTTATTTTACATTCTCCTGCAGCAGCGTATTCTATAGTCAGTGCCTTGTATGTTAAAGGATGATGCTTTATAATTGAGAAAGCAAACCAAGAGCAATACTTTAGGATGCACCCAGACAGTAGAACAATATAGTTTTAGAGTTTTAGAGGCAATTTCAGGACAGGAAGTTTTTCTTTAGCTGGTCAGTAACTAATGACAACAACAACAACAAGATTCCATTTATAGAGCGCCTTTCACGTCGGGAGGACGTCCCACTGAAATAGGTTTCCAGGAGAGGTGGTTGAGGGCAACAAACATATGTAAAAAGCAGCTTAATGCTGTGACGGGAGTTCTGGAAGGACAAAATCAAATGGGTCTTAGGTTCTTCATCAAAATCAATATTTTTGATAATCTCAAGTGAACTGTAAGACATGTGTCCATATAATCATGTTTTGTTTATCTAGGTTTATTTAATGCTATCTACAAGGTGATAATCTTTATTGAAGCCCATGTAGCTTATCGTTTAGACATGGCTTGAGTATAGCCAGAGATTTCCAGAATAAGCAATTCAGACTACAGTATATGCGTAGGAAGAATTGCTGGCTATCATATCTGAAATACAGACTCCCAAGGCTTCAAAACAAAGCAGTGCCCGTGTAGCGTTGGTGGAGTGAATCTCCTGGTACCCAACTTTATTCTGCTTTGCTAATTAATACCTGTAACTGACGGTTCAATGTCTCCTCTAAAATATGGCACCTCCCAACAATGTAATGCTCCCCGAGCAAGTGTCAGCCACGAACATGAGCTCAAAGTCCAGTTGTGGGGCAGAAACCCCCAATCTTCTGATTCAGAAGGAAGAGTGCTACCAGCTGAGCCAGACTGACACCTTATGTGAGCAGTGTTCCTGTGCATGAACATATTCAATAGTATCTCTAGACTTATTATATCCACTGACTGACATCGATCTAGTGAGCCAATCAGCAGTGAATCCTGTTAAATTGAACAAGAATAGAAATATTTTGTAATCACATTCCCAACCCCGATGTTTTTCCTTGTGTAGCTGCCGTATACCAAGGAGATGGGTGGCCTTGCTGCGAATCCATTACTACTGTCAATACCACTGGCATAAAAGGCCGGCCAAAGGTGCAACTCAAGGCATTATTTTGTTCTCCCTGAGAATTTAACACTTTGGTAGTGCATAGTATAGCCTACAATATTTGGGTTGAGTGACTCAAACTCAACAACAAATTAAATTTGAATAGCGCCTTTCACTATAGTCAGGAGAAACACATGAACTTCTTGAAAATTACCAGAGCTCAGGCACTTGGATTACCAGGCTTTCATCTTGTGAAGGGAATCCATTGTAGGCCCTTTGATAAAACACTAGTGCGGTTCTAATGTGCAGCTGTATCAACCAAAAGTGTGGTAAACACCCAGCTTCACTACTAGATAAGGTCCATACTGAGGCAGGCTAATCCCATTATCTTATCTGGGCTGATGGGGAAGAGGGACCGATACAAATGACGCATCTGCTGAGAGAGAGAGAAGGAAAATGAAAGACTCTGGAGCTAATGTACCAGTTTAGCAGCTCAATAGGAAGCAGCCTAAAGGTATCTGAGCTGCCTGCTTTATCAGCTCTGAGAAGGCATGTGACACGGGAGACAGCACCATCCTGTCTATTTTGACTGCGAGTACAGGAATGGCCAGGGAACACGCCATGGAAAGATCTAACAGGTGAAATCATGGACAAGGTTAGTAACTCAATTGGCTGAATGCTACATTGCCAACAGGCTGTGAGTCTGGGCTGTCAGACAATCAGAAAGTAATCTACAAAGAGAGAGGGGGGATTAAAAAATGGAAATCATCTCTGGACTTTATTTCAAAATTATCAACTTTTCACATGGCTTCCATTACGTACAGAACTATTCATCAAAAGTAACAGCACACAAAAATAAGAACTGATAAACTCAACCCATTAGGAAGCTTTGTTGTTAAATATATCTTTTCAATTTTTTTTTAAAAAATCGGAATTTGAGCTACTGAAACTATTTAAGTATAGTATCTCACAGACAGACGTTTCTCTTCTCTTTTACATGCTAATCCAGGTCATGGGAAGGTCATTTTCATGCTTTAGCTATCATTCAATTTCCCTTCTCACAGAGACACTGAGATGAGAAGGAGGCACTTGTGTGAATTGAAATTCATTGATGCACATTTTTCCCTTTCAAACACTTACTGCATTTAACCTATAAAGTTTCAAATCTGCAACATAAACCTTTGAGCTTCAATGAGATAATGATAACACACCCAACCCCTAAGTATTAGGATTTAAAATGGAAGTGACTACAATCACACAAATATTTCTTCTGCTTCATTCTGATTCATTTAACCACATTTATCCCTTTTTTATAGTTGTTTATAAGACGATTATGATGTCTGAGAGCGAAAATCCTTTCGATTTATTTGGTTTCCCCGAGCGCCGCTCACTCCTGTCTTGTTTTCGGTGCTGTTTCCACTGCCGTGACGGTTTGTCTGTCTGAGACCAGGTGATTTCACTCGGCTGCAAAAAGCACAGATTATAAAAAGAATGCATTACTTTTGGCTAGAGGTTTATAATGAAAATAATAACGATAAGTCAGGTCTTTTCCAAACAGATCAATGTGTTCTTGTATGTACAAAATAAGTGTCAGGGGATAAAATGCGATATTCTCAAACTGTATTAGTTGCACTAATTGGACTTTTGGTTGGAAGATGTCTTTTTGCACATTATTTGCCAAATGATAAATCCCAAGCCAGAAAAGTTGGGAAAAAATCACTGATGGGAAACAGCTGTCAGTTTGCTCACCAACATTTGTTCAGGTGCCAAGCTTGGCTCAGTTGGCAGCGCTCTCGCCTCCAAGTCACAAGATCACAGTCGACACTCATGAATTTGATGATTTGTAGTTTAAAATGAGATTGAAAAAGTAATTACAGAACAATACCAAAATAGTAGAGAACTAGATAGTTGAACAAGAGGACACAGAGTTAGAGTTTAGAGTTGCAGAGGGCAATTTTAGTGCAGACACCAGAAAGTTTATCATTACCCAGAGGGTGATTAACAAATGGAATAGATTGTAAGGAAGGGTAGTTGAGTCCAGGACACTCACAGAAAACACAGCTTGATGGTGTGATGGGAGGGTGGGTGTCCTGAGGGATGAGATCAACTCGGCCAAAGGGCCTTCTTCATCCAATCTTGTGAGTTTCAATTTTCATGAAGTCAGCGTCCAGGAGGAAGCCCAGAGTGACGCCTGGGATAATGAACTAGTTATGAATATCTTACCACGCCAGCATTTTCTCTCCAATCCAACAATATTTAAAAGATTGTCTAGTTAAATTCAAGGAAATTAATCCTCTGAATTTCTCAGACAATATTCTGGGGAATATTACCTTTATCGAATCCCTTCAGAGGCAGATTCCTGAGTTACAGGATAGATGTGAAACACTGCAGCAGTTGAAAGAGAAATTGGAAGAACAAGTACAGACAGGGAGGTCTTGTGAGCATGTACAAGCAGAAATAAACACTTGAAAATGGCTAATTTGGAACAACAACAATGTACAAAAACATTTGCAAGTGCCAATTAGATGAGGCTAATAAAAAAAATCCAATCAAAATGATTCAAAAGATGCCATAGGTGTACTTCCACCCAGCAGGATGGGACATCTCACGATAATTGTTGAGTAGAAGCTTGTGGCAATTAGATAGATAGCTTCTACACTGGAGGAGGTGGCATTAAAGACAGCAGCAGCAAATGGGTGAAAAGCAGAGGCACATAGAGGTCGAAAAAGTTGCAGTTCACAACGGGATTTACTAATAGCAACTCCAGAGTTACTAATGGGAATGCTGCCTGTCACTGGCAGAACATAAGAGCTAACTAGTGGGACTCCAGCTGGGATTGGCTGGCAATGGATTGCGGAGGTCCCTGTGAGCGAGATGTCATGTACAGCCTTTACCAACAGGAAACCAAAAATCTCCTCGGAGCTGAGTTCTCTCAGGTCGGCACTTTACATCTCAAAGGAATTTTAAATCACCATTTACACTGCCATCTTCCCAAATTGCAATTCCTCAACTCCCATTGCCTAGATTTGGAATCTGCTGGTAGGGAATCACAGCAGTGCAACTCATCTTGTTTATAAAACAGGAGACTAAATGCTCCCCAGTGGCATAACAGCAACTCTCAATTAGTTTCAAACAACGTATTTTAAAGATAACCGTTCCCTCCCACTCATTCACTTGCTGATTTGTATCTTTCAAAAATAATAATAATAATCCTTGCGTTTGATATAGCGCTTTTCACATCTTCTCAACGTCTCAAAGCGCTTCACAGAATATGCTGTAAAGTGAATTGACCGTATATTTGTGGGCGAGCGCGGCAGCCAATTGCGCACAGCAATGTCCCACAAACAGTCGTGGGTTGAAAATGACCAATTTATTATTGTTTTGTTTTGGAGGGATTATTATTAAGCGTGTGGAGTAAGGAAACTTGCCCAAGTTTCGCCCTGACGGGAATTGAACCCAGGTCTCTTGCTTGCAAGGCGAATGCTCTAACCACTGAGCTACAGGACTCCACAAAAATTCTGAAGAGCAGAACTGGGAGGAAAATCTTAATTTCACTATTATAGTTTGCATGAAAAACTTGGATAAGCCCAGTGGGATTGCACTTTTTGTAAAGTATTTTAAATCAAAATGTACATTTCCTGGCAACCAAAAGGTCCCCAAATTTCTAAAAGAATAATTTCAATAGTATGGGCCGCGATCAGGGTTTCATAGTGACCCATGCGCTTTTAACGTTAATGTGAACAATGAGAGGCAGAAATTGGATGACATGACTTAAATAACACAGAAAGGCTCATTTGACACACAGAAACATAATTTTACATCCGTATTAAAGTGTCAGATGAGACTGGCTGCTAGAAAATGGCTCACCCAATCTCTTAATATAAATGTACAGCGAAGGCCAGTGGCACTGAAATCACTATTTCTAAGTGCTTCACTTCACATAAAGTGGTGATTCAGTCAACATATTGATTCTTCTGCACTTGACAGTGTAATTATTGAAATGGAATTTTGTAGCATCCTCCGCTCAAACTTGTCTAAGCACACAGTTCCTGGGAAACTGCTCAAAACAGAATTGAATTTGCATTCTATTCCATGGTGTGTCTGTGTATGTGCATGACTGTGTGTGTGCATGTTTGTGCATGTGCTGTTCATGTCTGTGTGTGTGTGCATGGATGTGTCTGCATTTGTGTGTGCACACATGTGTATGTGCGTGAAAAACGTGAGTTTTCACGCTTCCACGTGACATCAAATCTGTTAGGAAATATGCCATTTTGCAGAACGATAATAGGCAGTGATACAATTAGCACCAATTATTTGCGTCTCCCAAAATGGGAAGCAGTGACTTAACACTCATCCCAAGCTATGTGACCAGAACTCCGAGACATGAGTTCCCCACTACAGCATATTTCTGTTGTTTAGGGATGCATGTGCAAAACCAATGTATCAGCAGAGAAAACAAAACACAAAATATTGCAGATGCTGGAAATCTGAAACAAAAACAGAAGTTGCTGAGAACACTCAGCAGGTTAGGCAGCATCTAGATACTGCCCCACCTGCTGAGTGTTCCCAGTGACTTCTGTTTTTGTGTTAGCAGAGAATACTCGCTGGGAAATTGTGAAATGCAGAACAGAAGCCGTATACAAGGAAAAGCCAATAATTCGTGAGTAATTTCACTTCTGAGCTATCAAGGTCTTCCATCAATGGTGATATCAATTCCGTGTTCAAATTTCTAATTTAGCATTTTATTTATATGACTTGAACATACAGATAAAGATGAAATTGAAGCCCAGTTTTAATTACTTTCACCGAAGACTATCACACATGCATGAAGTCCTTTAATATTTTATTCTGCCAGTTACTTACCTCTCTCCATGAGCAATCTATTTCAGCAAAAAAAAATTAAATATCAGGCAAACAGTCCAAGATAAAACAATGCAGCAGTGAGTCAGAAAGTTAGGGCAATATTTTAACTTCCGACTTCTTATGGAGAGAAAACCTGTAAATTCTTTCTTAAAATCTTAGTACAAAAGTATTTGTGATTTAGCTATTTTACATTTTCTCTTCATAGATGGGTACCAAGCTAAACCTTTCATTCCAGCTCTGATGACTCACTGCTGCACTGTACTGTAATGTTAGTCTGAGATATCACTGTGAATCTAATCATTGATTCTCACTCAGGGAATTCAAGATGGTATCCAAAACTCTGCTGCAGGATGAGGGGGTGGAACTGGTGCTGATTATAACGTGATTTAATGAATCTCATTTCATTATGATAAAACAGCAGCTTTTATTTAATGGAAATTATTCACCTTGAAAGCAACAGACCATAGACATAACAGCATGAGGGAAATGTGGAGTGAAGGCAGAACCTTCAGCAGGGAGAAAATCAGAAGCATACAACAAGTAGCGGAAAATAATGAGGAGCTGTGGTTGAATAACTTTCCACTGATGAATTATTCCCTGGAAACGGCATCTCCTGTTGTTATGACATCAGGGGTACATACACCACAGCTCCTGTTGAAAAACTGCAACTGGGACGATTTAAAAATAGAGAATACTGGCTACTTATTGTTCACCGGTCATTTAACTGTACCTGCCACTGATTTGCCCATCCGTCGGACAGCACATAAACTTTAAACAAACCATAATTATTTGGAAGTGAATTATTTGAGTATTTCATTCCAAGATTGGTGGAGTACAAGATTTTTTAGAACTAGGCTTGAAGGTAGGTAGTTTTGTTGTAAGGTCTGTGCAATACCCATTGATAGCTTTGGAATAATGAAACTGGTCAAAGTCTTGGAGATAATTCGCTGTGTGGAGAGTAAATAGAAATGTTCTACAGGTTAAGCTGGTCCATACCTGAAGTTAGACGAAGGAGCTGAAGGTCTCAAAGTGGCCATGATATTCGATTTATAGTAATCCATGAAAGTTCGAGCCAGATTGTTTCCAAGTTTCATATCTATTGATTTGTAATTAAGGATTTAAGGCAAGTCTTCATAGATACAACCAACTACATTCAAGACATATATACCATTCCATGTATAAACACCAATTTTGTTTGAGCTTAGATAACTTTGTTTTGATGCAATCAGATTGTGGTTGAATAATAAACTACTTGGATGAGGTGGTTTGGAGAAGCTGTGTGATTTACAACCGTTGCAGGGCAAACACAGCAGGTACCAACAACAACTTGCATTTATATAATGCCTTTCATAATATTCAGTGCTCGACAGTGGTGGAGTCTGACCCTGAGCCATGAGCCAGTGGAAGAGGGGAGGTGACCGTAAGCACAATGAAAAAGGTCTTTAGGCGGGATTTGAAAGTGGGGAGGGAGGGGGCAATGCGGAGGGATTGGGGGAGAGAGATCCAGAGCTTCGGGGCAAGGATCCTGAAATCGATCCGTTCAGTAATTGGAATCAGTGGAGCCTGACAAGGACTGGTGTGATAGGGGTACAGAGGTTTGTGCGGGTGAGTATCCAGATGGCGGAGTTTTGAATTAGTTGTATTGTGTGCATTGTGGAGCTGGGGAGACCAGCGAGAAGGGCATTAGAATAGTCCAGCTGGGGAGTGGACAAAGTTTTCGGTTGCTTTTGTTGTGAGGTACGGACGGAGGGGGGCAATGTGACGGAAGTGGGAAAAAGCAGTCCTGATCGGGGAACGGATGTGTGGTAGAAAGAAAACCTGGGGATCGAGCCTGATGCCTAAGTTGTGCATCGCTAAAGTGAGTCTGAGGGAGAGCCCAGGAAAGTTGAGGAGTTGAAGCCTGCGGTAGAGAAGACGTTGAAAAGTATGGCTTCCGTCTTTCAGCTGCAGAAAATTTGTGCTCATCCAGGCCTTGATGTCCGTCAAACAAGCTGACAGGACATCAGGGGCCTGGGAGACTCAGCTGGGGCAGGAAAAGTATATTTGGGTGTCATCCGCATACGCATGCAGAGGTTGACCCGTCTGCGGATGACATCGCCGAAAGGGAGTATGTAGATAAGGAAAAGAAGGAGCACAAGGATGGAGCCTTGGGGTACCCCGCAGGTGACTGGGCGGAGGCAGGAGAAACCATTTGCAGAGATGTATTGTTGGCGATTAGTTAAGTAGGACACCAATCAAATCAGATTGACCAAACTGGGCTGAACAGTATTATTACAGGCAAGTTAATGGACAAAAGCATCAATGTCAACTCTCTGATTCCTGTCAACTAAAATTAATATAATATAAGATAACAGGGACCAACTTCTTTTCAAATAAAACAATTTCTGCATAAGGTGAGAGCAGTTTGCTCTTAGTTTGTTAGAAAAATGCTCCTAATCTTTTTAAAATAGTGAATTCAAAGGACAAGATTGCTCAAGGTCCTACATTTAATACAACCGTCTGACCACTTAATACAAGGATGAGGGATGCCCACTGCCTGTGATCGTAAGGATGATTTGTCTTTAAATTACATTCATGACTTAATGAAAGAGTCCACCAAATGCAGAGAGAAAATTACAGAGCTGGGAGCTGAGGGAAAAACCTGATTTGAAGTCCAAGCAATGAACTCTTTAAAACTTCTTTCAGTGCCAACAATTAGATCATCTGGTTCTGCTACATGGACAACAAAGTTACTTATTACAGCCATTGAGTGTGGGACGCTGCTGTGCGCAACTGGTTGCCGTGTTTCACCCACAAAATATACAGTCAATTCACTTTACAGTATGTTCTGTGAAGCGCTTTGAGACGTCTCAATAATAAGGCACTTATAACAAATGGCAGGATTAGTATTATAAAGAATGAATGTGTATTGTGCTCTATGATGTAGATCAGTGTGGCCCTACTCGAGACCCACGGCCACACCTGGCCCAGCTGGTGATTTTATCCGACCCAAGACCATTGGGAACATTCCAACTTTTGCTCCATCCCTAATGAACGTCCTCCTATGGCAGCGGGAGAGAGGGAGGGGGCAGAGAGGAGTGACGAGGAGGGGGGAGAGAGGGGGAGAAAGGGGAGAGAAGGGGGAGGGAGGGAGGAGGAGGGAGAGGAGAGTGGGGGAGAGAAGGGGTGGAAGGAGGAGGCGGGAGAGAGAGCGCGAGAGAGGGGGGGAACAGAGGAGGGAGAGAGAGGAGAGGGAGTATGTGTATGAGAGAGACAAGAGAGTGGGGAGAGAGAATGATTCAGAGAGGGAGAGAGGGAGTGAGAGGGGGAGAGAGAGTGTGAGAATGTGTTGGGGGCAGTGGATGTGAGGAAAAGGAGAAGAGAAACAAAAAGAGGAGGGGGGAGATTGCGAGGGTGATTGATAGAGTGTGTGTGGGAGAGGGAGAGTAATTGAGAGCGTGTGAGAGGAGAGCAAGGGTGTGCGAGAGAGTGTGTGAAAGGGGGGTGGAGAGAGCATGAGGGAGTGGGGGAGAGTGAGTGAGAGAGAGAGAGAGAGAGTGTGAAGGTAGTGTTTTTTGGTTCACTGACAGGACAGATGATCAGTCACACCCCCCCCTCCCCCCACCCCCAAGCGATGCCATGCAGTTTCCTCACAGAAAGCTCACTCTCTAGGTTCATCATTCCACCTCCCTCCCCACCCTCTGTGACCTCCCGACCCGGCTGTTCCCTTTGCCCAGCAAACACCAGCTTGCTTCATGCCCCCCACCCCATCTGCCCCACCATCGCCATTTTGCTCAACTCTGGAGCTCATTCCTGGTGTCCCTCTGACTGACTCCCTCCCTCGCTCCCTCCCTCCCTCCCTCTTTCAAAGCACATCAAGACCGAACTCTTTGACCATATTTTTGGTCATCTTCTCCCCTCCCCATCCCCCTCAGCTCCCACCCCCAGCTCAGGTGCCCAGCTGACAATGTCAAGATGTCGTTCCAACACGAAAAAGGTGATGTGTCAGTGTTGTTATGTTTCTGGAAGAGAAACACAAAATATTGTTTGTGTGGCCCGTGAATATTTCTCAAATAGGGAATCTGGCCGTCAGCAGCCAAAAGTTTGACCCCCGTGATGTAGATCATCACAAAGTCCTTCACAATAATATTGTCAAGTGGCAATGACTTTTTTTTTAACTAGGCAAACGCTGCAGTCATTTTGGGGACAAGTTCCCACAAATGGGTCATGAGAGAAGGCCCAATTGCATCTGGAGGATTGTTGGATGCGTGTAATCCTTGCATATGATACAGGGCCTTATGATAGTCAAGATGTATAAAAATTGCTTCAAAGGATTTTACTGTGAAGTGTAGTGACTGTTTATTTTGTAACGTGGCAGCCAATTTGCACAAAGCAAAGTCTCACAAGCAGCCATGAAATGAATGACCAATTTTATTTGGGTGAATGTTGGCCAAGAGAAACCGGGAGAAACTCCCTTCTCTTTTTGGATAGTGGAATGGGATTTTTAACATCCACCAGAACAGGCAGACACGACCAAAGGATGGCACCTTCGATAATGAGGCCCTCCCCCCAACACTGTTATAGTGTCAGCCTGGACTAGACAAGCTCAAGGTTCTGACAAGGGGCTTGAAACAACAACTTTCTGGGTGAGAGTGGTGCCAATTGAGCCAGGCTGACACTGAGACTAAATGCCTATTTAAAATGGAACAACAACAACAACAACAACAAGATTCCATTTATAGAGCGCCTTTCACGTCAGGAGGACGTCCCAAGGCGCTGCACAGTTGGGTCATGACCCGAGCAGGGGGGAAATGGTCAGGGTGAGGGGAGGGAAGGGAGGGAGAGAGGAGGGGGGAAATGGTCAGGGTGAGGGAGGGAAGGGAGGGAGCGAGGAGGAGGAAGAGAGTCGAGAGGGGAGCTGAAGGCACGGTCAAAGAGAAAGGTTTTGAGACCGGCCTTGAAGGAGGAAAGGGAGGAAGCGGCGAAGGCACTGGGGGATGGAGTTCCAGAGCCTCGGGGCTGAGAGGCTGAAGGCCCGACCACCGATAGTAGGGCGGTTGGGGCGGGGGACGTGGAGCAGACCGGAGCCAGAGGAACGGAGGGTACGGGCAGGTAGGTAGGGGGATAGTAGGTTGGAGAGGTAGGAGGGTAGGAACCCTAAGGTAAATATGTTCTTTGAGACAGGGATGCTAAAATTGATCTTTTGTGAATCTTTTCAAGTAAAGAAAATGCAGAATTACAACGTGACAGGTATAATTTGGGCACTTGTGCAATGCGGTCAACAAGTTTCCTACTTTTCTTGTTAGAAAAGCTATCGAGCTGTCGATTCAATAAAGTCCTGATGATGCTTTGAACACATTAGCCAAGCATGCCCAGAAGTAATTCACTGTATTTAGAGCATGTCTTAAATCAGCAGACAAAGCAAACGGTGGGCAGCATCTTCATGCGAGCAGTTTAAAATCATAGTCTGTCACACTGCAACGTGTCCCATATTTTGACCTAGGTACAAAAAATGTAGTGATTTAAAGTAATTGATCAGCCATGATATGTCAGCTTCAGAATTATTTACTTCCCCGTGCAGAAGCCACACAATATATTATTCGCTGCAAATGGCTTTCTTCAATAAATTTACATTGCTTAGAATACTAATTAAAATGTCCAGTCTCCAAAAACAGATTCCTGTCTAACACTGCTCTGCATTTATCTGAACTTTAAAAGGAACGATGGAAATAATTTTGTTAGTTTTAATCCTCCGGCTGTGCAATCGTGATCCAGACAATAATAATCCGTGCATTTGATACAGCGCCTTATCACATCTTCAAGACGTCTCAAAATGCTTCAGAGGATACACTGTAAAGTGGTTGAGGTGTATTTTGTGGGCAAAACAATGGGGAGGTCACAAAAGTAGCAATTTCAACCAGGATAAGAATTGAGTCACAAATGGTTACCGGGAAAATATCATCCAGAACTTCAGGTCTGCTCCGAAGCAGGTTGGGTCTGTGTGATGTCAATCCAGTTACCTGTTGCCATTCGGAATCCCATTTGTAATCGCCACAGTTTAGATATAGACCGTGTTCTGATGCATGCAACGTCCTGATGCACCACAGTAAGTACCAG